GGGAGAGACGGGCGGAACCGAAACCCGCGGGACCCAGCGGCACATGCACGAGGCCAGAGCAAAATCGGGAAAACTATGAGAAGAAAAGCAGAGTCCCTGGGACAGCAGTCACCATCATAGCGGGCCTTCTGCACGCTGGGCGGGCCATCAGCACAGGGGACAGCGGGCACCGGGACGGGCAGGGTCAGCAGCCGTCCACGGGGGTCGGACGGGCAGGGGACAGTGACTCTCCGCGGGGGCGGCCAGCTTGCTCTGTGTGCGCTGGGTGACCCATAACGGTCCAGGGTCTGAACCCGGGTGACAGTTTAGCTCACGGCATGTCCTGCCTCTGGATCAGCCCGAGCACGGCGCCAGGCTGCCACACTGGAGCTGAGAAGGCCCCAAGGGAAACAGAGAGAGTCGAGGAAACGGGGTGGGGGGCACCTGCTGGGGAGCGGGTCTGGGCTCTGGGCCGGCCACGTCCTCACACCTCTGAGACCCGGGGCGGGGGCAGCCTGTCTCCACCACAGGCAGCCGCACCCCCAAAAGGCAGAAAATGCAAAACCGATGGAAAGACCCCAAGAAAACCCAACTGAGCAGCTGCCGGAAGGAATGAGGCAGAGCCCAAGTGAAGCACTGCCGAGAGCGCCTCACTGTCCGCCTGCCGACAGGCCACAGGCAGGGGACACACGCATGCACACGCACACACGCACATGTACACGCACACACGCGCACACACGCACACACACGCACGCGGGGTCCTGGCGGTAGCCGTGCCCATGGGGACCCAAGACCCCTCCCCAAGAATCCAGTAGAGGCCTCCAGTGTGCAGAGTGGGGGCCGGGAGCAGCCGAGAGGCGGCGTCTCGGGGAGGGCCGGAGCCTGGGCAGCCCCGAGCAGGGCCGAGCCTCGCCACAGCCGTGCCCGGGCCCAGACGCGGGGCACGTGCAGTGCCCGGCCGGGCGGGGCCCGCAGCTGCTGGCCGCGTCTCAGGGCCTCTGAGCGCAGCCGCCGCCCCAAGCCGTCTCGAACCTTTTATTGATCTCGGAGCTTGTTTGTGAAAACCGGGGAGGAAATGGAGGCGCAGGACAATCTCGAAAACAAGCGATTCGGCTCCCAGAATGATCAGCCCAGGCGCAGTGAAAAGAATCTGAAACCCAATGTTCAGAGGGAGATTACCCGCCTTTGTCTCCCGGTTTACGGTGTTTGAACAAGGATCTTTTCTGCCTAAGCTCCGACTTTCGCAAGGTCGTCGGCGCTGCCTTTCCTCCGTCCCGTCTCGCCCCCGAGGTGGGTTTCTCCCCTTAATGCGCCGCACCACCGGTAAAAGGCATGCCGAGGAGAAAGTCAAATAAAGAGGTTTCTAAAAGGCAAACACCACGCCGGGAAGTATTAAAAGCACGTTCCAAAACCCACCCTGATGACAGGTGAAGAAAAGCCGCCTTTATGTGGGGCGCTCGCCGGCCTTTCAAATGCGCCTGTTTGCCGAGAGAGCCAGGGCCAGAGCCCGGCCTTGAAGAGGCGCCTTTGATTGCTCACACAGAGGCTCGCTCCCACTCATAAATCGCCCACACCTTTGTCTGCCCCGAGAGGCAGAGGCCGCGCTCCCACAAGAACCTACAAGCCTCTTTCAAGTCACCCGGTTCCTCCCGCGGCTCCGACTTGTTGGTTCAGAGCCCGGGAGTGCCTCCGCGGGCCTGTCAGCTGCTACTGCCCCTGCTTTCTCTCAGATCAAAGCGGGAGCTTCCCGAGGACACACAAGCCCGAGACAGCAAATCTGCAGGGCTGACCCGGCCGCGCCAGCCGGGAAGGGCCCTCGTGCGGGGCCGAGGGGGCCCCGGCCCCGGCCCCGGCCCCTCCCTCCCTCCCTCCCGCCACCGGCGCCCCCGCACAGGCCCCGGCCACGTCCACTGTCGGGCGTCCGGGCGGTCCCCGCCGAGCCCCATCGGTGCGGTCACCAGGAACACGCGCGGCACAGCGGACACGTGCCTCTCCGGTCCGTCCCCCTCGGCCTCCCAGCCTCCTCGGGAAGCGGCCCAGGGCAGCTCACGCTGGCGGGGAAGCACAGCGAGAACTGCGCAGAGCTGGGCGTCCGCTGAGGCCTCCGCCTGCTCCCAGCACTCTGCCAGCACCACCCGACCCGCCGGAGACTGAGCGACAGGGAGACAGGGAGACAGCTGCTGCAGAGACCCAGGAACACCGAGAGGCAGCTCCGGGGGGCCGCAGACACCCTGCGTGTGACCCCCCCTGCCCTCCCCAGTGCCTTCCAGAACGGTCTTTCCAGGGTGCCACTGCCCCACCTCTGTCTTTGCCCACGTCTGCTGGGACCCCGGATCCTTCCAGAATCCTCCCTGGATCCGGACACTCTCCCCATGTCCCGCCGGTGCCTCCCCCGCCCAGCTTTGGGGACGGTGCCCGGTCCCTGGGCCGGACCTGTCCCCTTCTGCCCAGAGCAGAGGCGCAAGGGCCAGACCCCACAGTGACCCACAGGGAGGCCCAGACCCTACAGTGACCCACGGGGAGGCCCAGACCCTACAGTGACCCACGGGGAGGCCCAGACCCCACGGTGACCACAGACAGACCCAGACCCCAGGGTGACCCACAGAGATGCCCAGACCCCACGGTGACCCACGGGGAGGCCCAGACCCCAGGGTGACCCACGGGGAGGCCCAGACCCTACAGTGACCCACGGGGAGGCCTAGACCCCATGGTGACCACAGGCAGGCCCAGACCCCAGGGTGACCCACAGGGATGCCCAGACCCCACAGTGACCCACGGGGAGGCCCAGACCCCCCAGTGACCCCATAGGAAGGCCCAGACCCCACAGTGACCCACGGGGAGGCCCAGACCCCACGGTGACCACAGACAGACCCAGACCCCAGGGTGACCCACAGAGATGCCCAGACCTCACGGTGACCCACGGGGAGGCCCAGACCCCAGGGTGACCCACGGGGAGGCCCAGACCCTACAGTGACCCACGGGGAGGCCTAGACTCCATGGTGACCACAGGCAGGCCCAGACCCCAGGGTGACCCACGGGCAAGCCCAGACCCCAGGGTGACCCACGGGAAGGCCCAGACCCCACGGTGACCACAGGCAGGCCTAGACCCCAGGGTGACCACAGGCAGGCCCAGACCCCAGGGTGACCCACGGCAAGGCCCAGACCCCAGGGTGACCCACGGCAAGGCCCAGACCCCAGGGTGACCCACAGGAAGGCCCAGACCCCACAGTGACCACAGGCAGACCCAGACCCCAGGGTGACATGGGCAGGCCCAGACTCCACAGTGACCCACGGGGATACCCTGACCCCACAGTGACCCACAGGGAGGCCCAGATCCCATGGTGACCACAGGCAGGCCTAGACCCCAGGGTGACCAGACGCAGACCCAGACCCCAGGTGACCACGGGCAGGCTCAGACCCTACGGTAACCCACGAGCAGGCCTAGACCCCACAGAGACCCACAGGGAGTGGTAATGGCGCTGGGTGGGTGCACGGGACTGGCCGGAGCCTCCATGACAGTGTGTTCTGCCACCCCATGAGGTGTGTGGGTGCTGGCCCACAGGTTCTGCCGTTTCTTTGAGGCACAAAAAGACAGAGTTCAGCACTGACTGTGAGCGGTCAGGAGAGTCAGGCCGCGGGAAGGGGAGGGGCTGCTCGGGCCCCAGACCTCTGCCTGCCACTGGCCACGGGACAGGGGAGTCCCGGGGCCCTGACCCTGAAGATGCTTTACCAGCCACACTGAAGGTGAAGCCCAAGTCTTCTCTGGCACCAAAACCTCCGTCCGCAGGGGATGAGAGTGGCCACCACGGCCCCGGTCACCCTATCGTGAACTCGGCCCACACACGCCGAGCCGCCAGGCAGCAAGAGGACCCGCCTGCTGTCGGCCAGTCAGCCGCGGGCCTGGGGTCTGCTCGGCCTGGGCCCCTGACCTGCGCCAGGGCTGCCCATGGGCACACTCTCTGTGCGTGTGGGGGCAGGGCCCAGGGGCAACGCCTGCTGGGTTCTCACAAGGCAGCACCAGCCTCCACGCCATGGGCGGCCACACACACGAGGGGGCAGCTGCTGTCCACACCGTGGCTCGTACATGGACACCCGAACCTGGGGCAGCCGCGCTGAGGAGACGCAGGGACCACACCAGGGGATGATGACACCCACTGCCGTTGGGCCAGAGGGCAGGGTGACAGACATCAGGATGCGAGTGGACAGACGCTTCCCCAAGACCGCCGGGAAGCCCCAGGACAGAGTGGCGTCACGGCAGTGGCTTTGTCCAGCTGTGGGGTGCAGCCGGGGGCATCACTGCCAACTGCCTCGACTGTCCCTGGACCAGCACCTGCTTATGTGAAAGCCTGTGGGTTCGGGGGGCCGGGGAGCGGGCAGGGCCTGTGCCGTCACGCAGCTGCCCCGGGCCACAGCCGAGTGGGCCCTGGGCACTGCTAGGTGTCCCCAGCAGAAGGCAGGGGCCGTCCTGTGGGCCTGGGCTCTGCTTCCCACCCCTCATAGGCATGCAGGAGTTTTTCCAACAGCGGAGGCCCGGCTCGGGCGGGGCACAGGCCAGAGACAGAAGCTGAGGAAGGCCGCCCTGGCGGGTGGACACTCAGGTCAGGGTGCCGCAGCACATGGACCAGGACCTGACCCTAGCAGGGGCACGTGTCCTGCGGGTGCCTCCCGCCCCAGCTGGCTCTCACTGCTGGACCAGCTTCCCTAGGTGGGAGTGACCCCCCGGCTGTCCAGGGGCGCACCGTGCTCCTTCTCTAAGCACCGGGCTGGGCAAAGGGGCAGCTGGCTCTCAGGTCGGGGGTCCGGGCCCTCCGTCTGCAAACAGCGTCGTGGGCCGAGGGGAGCTCGGGGGTCCTCCTGCCCCTGCATCCGGTCACTCGGACGCGCCTGACGCAGCTCCACAAAAGCCGGCCTTCCCCGAGTCGAGGCCCGAATATTCCAGCGGCCACACCCCGCGCGCTAAGGCGTGTGCCCAGAATCGCCCGTCCCCGGTGTGCGTGCCGGCTGCTGCCACGCGTGCCCAGGGCCCGGGGCCGGTGTCCCGGGCTCCTGCGCCGGACGGAGTCGCTGGGCGCTCGGCTCTGCGCGCCGGCAGGTGACCCCGACCGACGCGCGAGGCAGTTCCCACGGCCCCGCGCGGAGAGACGGCACCGGCCCGGCCCTGCCCGCGCCCGCCTGCAGCCCCGGCCGCGCCCCCGGCCCGGACCCAGACCCGGAGCCGGCCCGGACCGCGCCGCAGCGGGGCGAGGCGGCCCGTGACGTCACGCCGACCCGGCCGGGCTCAGGGCGCGTGCGCGGGGCGGGGCCGCGGGCGGCGTTGCTAGGCAACGGGAGCCGGCGGCCACGCGGTGGGTGCCGGAGGCTGGGCGGCCGGCGGGGTGGGGGCGCCGGCGGCTGGACGCGGGGAGAGGCGGGCGGGCAGGGGGACGAGGGGGTCGCGCGGTGCTCACTGTGTCCCGCGGGCTTCCGGGCCGTGCGCGGGGCGGGGCGGGCTCCGCTGTGGCCTTGCCAGCCCCTGGGTGGGGGCTTCATGGTGGGCGTGTCCTGGGGGGCTCCACTCTATGATGGGCGTGTCCTGGGCGGGGCTCGGCTATGGGCGGGGCTCGACCGTGGGCGTGTCCGAGACTCCGGGGGCGGGGCTCGACCGTGGGCGTGTCCGAGACTCCGGGGGCGGGGCTCGGCTGTGGGCGTGTCCGAGACTCTGGGGGCGGGGCTCGGCTGTGGGCGTGTCCGAGGCTCCGGGGGCGGGCTCGGCTGTGGGCGTGTCCGAGACTCCGGGGGCGGGGCTCGGCTGTGGGCGTGTCCGAGACTCTGGGGGCGGGGCTCGGCTGTGGGCGTGTCCGAGGCTCCGGGGGCGGGCTCGGCTGTGGGCGTGTCCAAGACTCTGGGGGCGGGACTCGGCTGTGGGTGTGTCAGAGACTCCAGGGGCGGAGCTCGGCTGTGGGTGTGTTCGAGACTCCGGGGGGTGGGGCTCGGGTGTGGGCGTGTCCGAGACTCCAGGGGCGGGGCTCGGGTGTGGGCGTGTCCGAGACTCCAGGGGCGGGGCTCGGCTGTGGGCGTGTCCAAGACTCCAGGGGCGGGGCTCGGCTGTGGGTGTGTTCGAGACTGGGGGTGGGGTGGGGCTCGGCTGTGGGTGTGTTCGAGACTGGGGGTGGGGTGGGGCTCGGGTGTGGGCGTGTCCGAGACTCCGGGGCGGGGCTAGGCTGTGGGCGTGTCCGAGACTCCAGGGGCGGAGCTCGGCTGTGGGCGTGTCCAAGGCTCCGGGGGCGGGACTCGACTGGGCGTGTCCGAGGCTCCGGGGGCGGGGCTCGGCTGTGGGCGTGTCCGAGGCTCCGGGGGTGGTCTCGGCTGTGGGCGTGTCCGAGACTCTTGGGGGCGGGGCTCGGCTGTGGGCGTGTCCGAGGCTCCGGGGGTGGTCTCGGCTGTGGGCGTGTCCAAGACTCTTGGGGGCGGGGCTCGGCTGTGGGCGTGTCCAGGCAGAGCCTTGGAATTGGCCTCCCATGACGTGGCTGCACCCCTGATGCCCGTTGGTGCGAGGTTCCTTGGGATGTGGCCTAAAAACGTTGGGAGCGCAGAGGAGGCTGGAAGGGTCAAGGCCAGGGGCGGTGGGCGTGAGACGGGACCCTAGGGTGCGAGTCAGGACGGCCAGTCGGCCTCACCCGCCCTGCCTAGACTGCGCTCGCTGCCGGACTGGCCTAGTGCTGGCCGGGGCTGGCCGCGGTCTTGCCTTTGGCCTCAGGCTGGGGGTCCCGAGAGCCAGGAATGGGAGCGGGGGTTGGTTGCTCACGTGGGGAGCAGCTGCGCCAAGTGTTTGCAGCACGGTCACTCTGAAAGCCCAGGGTGCTAGGGCAGAGGGCAGTCCTGGGAAGGTCTGTCCCGGACGCCACAGCCGGGACACCCGGCAGGGACACGAGGCCCCTCTGGACTGCAGATACGGTTGTGGGTAGGTGGGGGCTTGATTCTGTCTCTTGCTGTCACTTCGGAAGCTGATGGTGATGGTGATGGTGATCCCGCTGAGTGCCGCTGCCTGTCGGGGGGTGGGGAAGGGGGGGCTGGGCTGCTGGGCCTGTGGCCCGCGGGGACCCCCTTTCTGCCCTGTGGGTGCGGAGCCTGAGGGAGAAGGCACAGGGGCATGTGACACCCCCCAGCCTGAACCCAGATGGGTCTGGGCGGCAAAGCACACGCCTTGCTGGCGGAGACCCGAGTCCAGTGTCACGGTCACCGTGGGGAGCGGAGGGTGTGGGCGCCGCCCGCAGCTGTGGACAGCGGAGCCCCAGGACGGGCCGGAGGAGACCCTGCTCCTGCCCTGGGCCTTCCCACCCATCTGCAGGGGACACCCCTGCGTCACTGCCGCTTCCTTTCTGGGCCCCTCTGGACGCCTGACCTGATTCCCCCACCAGCGGGAGGGCACTGAGGCAGGAACAGTTTCCCGACAGTGCTCCAGCGAGGGGGTGTGGAGGCACGTGTGCTCACTCCTGTCCTCGGGCCCAGCCCTCTGTGCTCCATCCGGTCATGCTGTGGGCCCCAGGCAGTCCCCGAGGCCCTCTGCCTGCCTGGAAGGCCGCCCTGAGGACCCCTCCTCCTGCCCTCGAGGCACGGGCTCTGAGCCACCCACCCCAGCCCGCAGCGTTCCTGGCTCCCCACTGGTCAGCGTGGGGTCGCCCACTTCCCCTGACCCCGCAGGCCAGCCTGGTCGGCACTGACCTTGCACTCTCTTGGCAGGAAGAGAGGAGAGTACGGGGAGCTCTGAAGGCCAGTCAGCGGCCCTGGGATGTCCAGGAACAAGGTGGGCAGCACGCGCCCCGGCTATACCGGCAGGGTCCGACCCGGACTCCGCTGAGGGGCTGGCCGCCGTGGTCTGCTCTGCGTCCAGGCCCGGGGCCACGTCCCGCACTGTGAGATTCTCTCCCACCTCACGGCTCCTGGCCCGTCCCGGCGGCTGCAGGCTGCTCGGCCTTTCTGCTCGCAGGGCCCTGCGCCGAAGCTGGACGTCTCGGCGGTGACGGCAGCTGCCCTGCAGGACCACATCCTCCGGGACCGGCAGCTGCGGGGCCTCTCGGCGGCCCACGGCACCCCGGCCCGGGCACAGCTGCGGCAGGAGCGAGCCGCCCTCCGCGCCCTGCGGAGCAACGCCAAGGCGGTGGTGGACACGGGGCTGCGGAGAAGGGCCCGGCCCCCGCGCGCCGCCCTCCCTGGGACGGAGGAAGAGGCCGTGCTGGACCCCCGGCCACCACCGCTGTCGCTGGGTACTAGCTGAGTGTGCAGGAGGCGGGCGCGTCCCCTCGGGGTTGCCCCACCTTCCCAGGGTGCCGAGTGTCCCTGGGTGCATGCTGAGTGTGTGACTGTGTGGCTGTGTGTCACTACGGCTGTGTGTGTGACTGTGTGTGTGGCTGAGTGTGTGACTGTGTGGTGTGTGTGGCTGTGACTGTGTGACTGTGTGTGACTGGCTGTGTGGGTGACTGTGCATGGCTGTGTGTGACTATATGACTGTGTGACTATGGTTGTGTGGGTGACTGTGTGTCACTGTGTGTGGCTGTCTGAGTGGCTGTGTGTGACTGTGTGGCTGAGTGTTGACTGCGTGTATGGCTGTGTGAGTGGCTTGTGGCTGTGTGTGACTGTATGACCGTATGTGACTGTGTGTATGGCCGTGTGTGACTGTGTGCAACTGTGTGTGTGACTGTGTGACTGTGTGTGTGACTGTGTGTGTGACTGTGCGAGAGGAGGCCCGGGGTGAGGGAGGGAGGGACACACTCACGTCTCCCTGCAGTCCCCAGGTGTGGCCTGGGAAGTTCCGTGTTCCACCCTACAGCTTCCTGGGTGCAGCTTGCCCTAACCCTGACCCTGACCCTGACCGTCGGGGAGCTGTGGCGGTCCTCCAGGGCCGTCTCTGCAGGAGTGTCGGCTCCCCCCCCCCCCCCGACCTGCTGGGTGGTGCTGAGGCGGGGCGGGGAGGGGACGTGCGGCCGGTCCCTCCTTCCTCCCGGGAGGCCGGCTGAGGCTGGAGTTTCTCCCACGGGCCCGGGTTCTCGGGACCAGCCCGGGTCCCAGCCAGCCTCCAGCAGTGCGCAGGGTGGCCAGGGGGTCGGGGCTGGAGACGCTGACCACCCGGCCCACGACAGCGCAGAAGCTGGGCCTGGTGCCCCCGCCGCCCCCGCCGCTGTCCCCCGCCGGCTGGGAGCGGGCGAAGCAGAGATCGGTGGCGGAGGGCGACTCGGGCCGGCCGTGCCCCATCTGCAGGGAGGAGTTCGAGCTGAAGCCGCAGGTGCGAGCGGCCCGGGGCACGGAGGGGTGGGGCCACCCGCCGCAGGGGCCCAGTGGAAGCGCAGGGGTCCCGAGTCCCAGCATCGGCAGGTCTAGGGCGTCAGCCGCACGCTGACCCCAACAGGCTCTTGACCCTCGGCTGCCCCAGAGCAGGGACTCGGCCCCCGCTGGCTCGGAGCCAAGAGCCTCTGGCCAGAGCGTCTCTGCGGTCGGCGCTGGGGGCGTGGGCCGAGGCCCCAGTTTCGCAGTGGAAGGGGCGCGCCCAGGCGCCTGCCCGGCTCTCCGGGGCCTTCTGCTGGGGTCCGAGGGGAGCCTGGGAGCCTGCGCCGCCCCGCAGCCACAGCGCGGTCACACCACGGCCTCCCCTCGCCGTCCCCCTCGCAGCGTCCTCCTCCCTGTCCTGCAGGTGCTGCTGTCCTGCTCACACGTGTTCCACAGGGTGAGGCTCCTGCGCTCGGGGGGCGGCGGACGACGCCCGAACCCGCTGGGCCGGCCGGGCGGGGCGGCGAGGGGCGCCTGGACACCTGTCCCCCCGCAGGCGTGCCTCCAGTCTTTGGAGAGGTTCACCGGCAGGAAGCGCTGCCCCCTGTGCCGCCAGAGCCAGTACGAGACGCGCCTCATTCACGACGGGGCCCAGCTCTTCAGGGCCAGGTGCGCGACCAGGTGTGTGACCCGCGTGCACACGGGTGTGACGAGCCGCCTCCAACCCGGTGTCGGACGGACGCGGCCACGCTGTGCGGCCAGATGTGAGCAGGCGTGTGAGCAGGCGTGTGAGCTGGTGTGTGACATGTTTGAGCAGGTGTGTGGGCAGGTGTGTACGAGCAGGTGTGTCAGATGTGTGAGCAGGTGTGTGAAGTGTGTGAACAGGTGTGTGAAACACGTGAGCAGGTGCGTGAGCAGGTGTGAGGTGTGAGCAGGGGTGTGAGAGCAGGTGTGTGTTTACAGGTGTGTGAAGTTGTGAGCAGGTGTGTGAGCAGGTATGAGCAGGTGTGTGACGTGTGTGAGCGGGCGTGTGAGCAGGCGTGAGGCCGCTCGGGCACTGCAGCACCTGCAGCCGCCGGCCCGGCCCGTCTCTCCCCGCGCAGCCGGCCAGCGGGGTCGGGCTGCAGGGTCAGGGCTGTCCCCCGCAGGGTCCAGGCGTGCTGGCGCGGGCACGTGGTGAGGAGGTGGTACCGGCACCTGAGGAGCACCGTGCCGCCCTCGGACCCAAAGCTGCGCAGGAAGTTCTTTGAAGACAAGGTAGGCCTGAGGCCCCGGCAGGGGCGGGGGACAGGGTTCGCCGCTGGTTGGCAGCAGCGGGGCCGGCGCGGGGCACGAGCGAGTGGAGACGGGGTGCGGCCCCTCTGCCCCTACCGTCGTTCGCCACGGCAGGCGGGTGTGGAGGGGAAACAAGGGCTGCCCTGGCCCCGCGCCCTGGAGAGCGCCCGGCTGAGGGGCGGTCACTCTGGGGCCTGGCAGGCTTCACCTTCCCACCCGGCGATGTCACACGGGCACACACCCGAGGGGACAGGGTGCTTGCCGGGAAGACGGCCGGGAGCCGTGGACACCGTCGGCGGCTGTGTCGCAGGAGAGGGCCCGTGCCCTCCCACGCCTGGCACCACCCCAGGCACCCATGGCAGCGGGCGCGAGCTGCTCACGGCCTTCCCCTCGGAACTGGGGTAGCGTGCGTGCCTGGAGCGGTGCCAGCCGTGCCCACAGCCCGCCGAGGCCACGGGGCAGCCCCTCCTGACAGCTGTGCCCCGGCCGGGGCTGGCTAGCCCTCACTTCCGACCAGTCACGGGGACGGTCTCACAGCAAACCGGGCAGCGCCCAATGCCACCGGCCCCGCCCCCGCTCCCTGCAAGCGACAGGGCCCTGACCTGGGGCGACCGGCCTGGGGCCACGCGAGGTCCCATGGCTACTGCCACTGCATCCACGACCTCCAGCGGGCTGAGCTGCCCCTGTCCCGGACTGGGCCCTGCCGCCTGAGCCCCCCAGAGCCGCCGCCAGGAGAGGGTGGGGCGTGAAGGGCTCCAGGGAGCAGCAGCGGCAGGGGTGCCCCCCGAGACAGCCGTGCGGGGCGCGGGTGCCGCTCCAGCCTCACGGGCCGGCTGTCCCGCCACGCCCGCCCGGTGGCACCAGGACACGTGGCCACGGCGTCAGGTCTGCCCTGCCCCTCGGTGCCCGCGGTGGAAGCTCGGGACCCGGGGCCTCTCCGCGGACTCAGACGGGCCCGGTCTCGGGACTGAGATCAAAGGCGCCGGCAGAGGTCACTGGAAGTGCCACCGCCTCGAAGCCCGGGGTCCCCAGCGGGCAGCGGGGCCCTCCAGCGCCTTTGATCCTTATCGAGCGGGAGTGGCGGCCCCTCTCCCCAGCGGAGTCCCGGGGGGCGACCCCCCCCCCGCGGGGCTCCCCTGCATTTACGTCTCCTCAAACAGCGCTGGCCGCAGAGTTTGCTCAGCGCTCGACTTCCTTTATCACATGGAGATGGCAAACATTCTGTTGCCAGCGTCAAGGGGCTCCGAGCACTGAGACGGGAAGGACAGTAAACCCGTAAAAGCTTATCAACGGATCCGATTGATACGCCGTAAATTCCAGGCTTTTCACTGGCCCGCAGAGGCGGCCGTAAGTCAACACATTAGTAAACGATTTGCTGCCATCGAGACGGAGACGGGCCTCCGGGCGGGGCGCGGGCACTCAGAGTTCACAGGCGAGGGGTGTCCCGGGGCGTGTCCGGGCTGCGGCCGCTGCCGTGCGCGGGGGACGGGTCTGAGGGACGCCCAAGGAACGCGGCCGGGCCGTCTGGGTCCTCGGGGGCTCGGGGACTGCCCCGCCGTCCGCGGGCAGAGCGAGCACCGCGTCCCTTTAGAAGGTGCTGTGCAGGGTCCCCCACGCTCCTCGCCCGGGCTGGCTCCGGCACGGGGCAGCCGGCACCTGCCCGCACAGGCCTGGCCGCTCCACCAAGCCTCCTCCGTGCCCGGGCCTGCCGGCCGCGGCCTCATAACGCCCGCCAGCGGCATCTGCCCCCACCGCGCCGGACGCTCGGGGCTGGGCCCGTCTGACCAGAGAGCCCAGCGCTGTCCGGGAGGGCCGGGAGTGGGTCTCTGCATGGACGCCAGACCAGGCCATGACACCGTGAAGGCCCTCGGGAGGCCTGTTGGCATCCAGCCCGCCCCCGCAGGAGCCCCGTGCAGCCCGACTGTCCCCGTTCTGGAGCCTGTTTGCAGTCCGACTGTCCCCCCGGGAGCTGTTTGCAGTCTGTGTCCCCTGGGGGGCCTGTTTCTAGTCCGGCTGTCGCCCGCTTCCAGTCCAGCTGCCGCCTTGGGGGCCGGTTTAGTCTGACTCTGCCCCCTCAGGGTTTGGTTCACAGTCTGACTCTGCCCCCTCCCGAACCGGTGTGCGGTCTGCCCGTGCCCCCAGGACTGGTGTGAGTCTGTGCCCAACAGGGAAGTGGCGTACGTCGGACTGTGCTTCCTTGAGAGTCACTCGATGTTCTGACTGTGCCCCCTGGAAGCGCATTTACAGTCCGACTGACTCTGCCCCCTCAGAAGCAGCTCGCAGGGTGACGGTGGCCGTGTGTAGGAACGGCACAGGCAGGCGAGCAGGGGCTACTGGGCACGGCTGACAGGGGAGCAGGGACTTGTGCGTGACAGACGGACAGTTGCACAGGACTGACTGGCGAGCAGGGGCGGTTGTGACAGGTAAGCGGGAACCGGCGTGTGCACCTGACGGGAGCAGGGGCTGCGGCACATGGGTGAGGGGCATCATGGAGACAGGGAATCGGGGGCAGGACAGGGTCGGGGAGAGGGAACCATGGAGAGGCGGCCCAGGCCCCGACCGGCTGTTCCACACGCTGCTGTCCAGGAGGATCCATCCTACGGGGCGGTGTGGGCAGGGTCTGGACGGGTGACCATCGAGGGGGCGTCTCTGGAGGGGCGGTCACGTCTCCGAGGTGCCCGAGGCCGAGGCAGCAGGCCGACCCGGGGACCGAGCACGGTTTAAGGCAGGGACGGTCTCTTAGCAACAGGCTCCACCAGGCTGGAGCAGAGTCGGCGCTGTGCAGGGCTGGGGGGCGGCGGTCCTGGCTCTGCTGTGGGTGGGCGCCAGCCAGGCCCTGGCCCGGGCCAACCCAGAGATGGTGCCACGGCGGTGAACACCCTTCTCCGCCCACGGTCAGCGGCAATGACCCAACGAGCTGCGGCCGGCCGGGACAGCCCGGGAGCCTGGAGTGGACGCCGAGGCCCGGGGCCCGCCTGGTGTCTGCACGGCGGCTCACGCGTGCCCACCCCAGTTCACAGAGATCAGCCAGCGCCTGCTGTGTTCCTACCGCACGGACGTGGACGCGCTGCTCTCGGAGGTGGAGCGCTGCCTGGCCGTCAACCGCGGCGTCCTGCGGCAGCTGGAGGAGGCCAGGGGCTGCGGGCTTTCGGCGCAGGACTGGGAGAAGATCCAGGCGCAGGTGGGCCGGGACCGCCGGGGTCGGGAGGGGGCAGCCCCGTGGGCCAGAGGCTCGAGAGCCGCCGGCTGCCCCCGAAGCCGCTGACCACGCCGACTGACCATCACGTCCAATGAGCTTGCAGGCGCTGCAGCGGGAGGGCGCCGACTGTCCCATCTGCCTCGGCCCGCTGTGGGCGCCGGGGGCCAGCCGCCGCGCCACCGCCCTGCTGTCCTGCTCACACCTGTTCCACCACACCTGCCTGCTGGCCCTGGAGGAGTTCTCCCTGGGGGACGCGTCCCCCTTCCATGCTTGTCCCCTCTGCCGCTCCTGTTACCAAAAGAAAATTCTGGAAGGTTGACTCCACAGTCGGAATGATGGAACCCGGGGGCCGGGGCCGCTCCTCGGGACGCCTGTGACTCGCGCCGTCATGCTCGGGGCCCACGCAGGCCCGCCACTCCCCACCAGGCCCGCCCCAGGAGTTGCTGTCACTGGGGTCCCACTGCCCTGAGCCACGGGGCGCCACCACTGCCAAGGGCCCCCGTGGCAGGTCCCCAAAGTGCGCTCGTGGGCAAGGAGGTGCTCAGTCGCGTGACCGTGTCAAGCTGCGGATCTGGAGACTTCCTGGAGAGCGAGCAGGCGGCTGCCGGCTCTGGGCGGGGAACCGGCACAGGGACGCTGGACCTGCCTGTCCCCACGGCAGCCTCGGGGGCCAGTGCTCCTGAGGGCCTGGCCCTAGGCACACCGCGGTCACACGCCAGGGCTGGTGCCATGGGGCCAGCCTCCATCCCTGACACACATGGGCAGGGGTGTGTATGTGTGTGTGTATGCGTGTGTGTGTACGCGTGTGTGTACGTGTGCGTGCGCGCGCCCTTCAGGCTCTGGAGCAGCCCATGGGCCAAGGCAGTGTCCCTCACCCCACTGGTGGTCACACAGAGACTCAGGCTGCCAGGACCTCGGCACCGTGGGCGCTCATTCTGGAGAAACCTGAAGACACGGACCCGCAGCCCACACTCACCCCTGCGGGCGGCACCCACACTTCACACACACACACGCACACACACACCATGGCAGCAGGCAGGTGCACGCTAGGGACCCCTGGCCGGGTCTACCCCACCACACGGCCAGCACAGCCCACCGAGCCTCAGTGGGCCATCACACTCAAGGCAGCCGGCAGGGCAGCTCCAAGCCGGAGAGTGGCCAGACGGGCACCAGGGCAGAGAAGGGGGGCTCAGAACCCCCATGGGCCGGGCCTGGAGGTCGACCACGCCGACTGACCATCACGTCCAATGAGCTTTAATGGGCGCTTGCATGGCCCTTCCTGTCCGCCAAGCTGAGCGGGCGTGCGCTCTAAGTGACCTTCCTGTCCGCTGAGCTGAGGGGCATGCACTCTGACCTTCGTGTCTGTGTCCACTGGGCTCTGAGGGGCGTCCACGTAGACTGTGTCTGCTGAGCCGTGGTCTCCAGCATGCTCCAGGCTGCCACGGGAGGCGGCAGCAGCTTCTGGCTCCCGGAGCGCGAGCAAACGCCTCCGTCCCGGCGGGCACGACCCCACTGAGGGCACAGCAGCTCTGAGCTGAGGCGGCGGTGCGGCCGGCGGGCACCACTCTGGCTGTGGTTTCCTCGTGCAGGCCTGCTTGTGAGGGTGCCCAGGGAAGCAGCAGGCCCGTGCCGGCCAGTGCGGGAAGGCCCCTCACCTGCTCCGTCTCCCCGGCCCCGGCCACCCAAGACGGAAAACACAAAACACGAGAATTGTTCCCACAACGTGAAATCACTTTTTGCAAAACTTTAATGTCGGAGACATTGAAAAGGTCACACTTGGAAGTGTCCCTGGGAAACGAGCAAACGCAACACTGGAACGGACAGCGCTATGGGCGAGGGGCCCACAGCACGTCCCTGTGGCTCAGTGACAGGCCCGGAGGGGCCACGGGCGAGGCCGCCCTCAGTGCATCCGCGTGGCTGGCGCGGCAGTGCGGCTGCTCCTGCCAGGGGCCCGCCACGGCTGTCTGGGCGGTGGGCAGCAGGGCCCAGGGAGGCACCACCCGAGCAGAACCAGGGGCCTGGCACAAGGGCCACCGCCTGCCACGGACCCTCTGCATGTGGCCTGAGAGCCGCAGCCGGGCCCCTCACAACCTCTGCTGAGCCGCGCGGCCCAAACCGAGCCCGGACGGGGAGCAGAAGCCTCAGGCAGGGCCACGTCTCTGAAAGTGGCAGCAGTGCACGGCCTGTGGCCAGTCCCCCGAGATGTGTGGAAGGGCAGCAGCGATGGCGACGTCCACTGCGTCACCGTCGTCCTGCCGCGGGGGCCTGGGGCTGGCCCCAGCCATGGAAGGGCCTTCCTCCCCCCACACCCGTGTCGAGGAAGTCCTCCCCCCTCCCTTCCCCCACCAGGAAGCGGCACGTGCACGTGGGCAGGAATGTTCCAGCTTAGAGTCTGGCTGAGCCCTGCGGCCATGGGCATTGCTGCCCCCAACCATCCCAGGGAGCCCTGGAGCCCGTGGGCACAGCCCACCCCACCCCCACCAGCCCGTGCCTGACGGGGTTCCAGGACCCCCAGCCAGCCTCCTCGGTGGGAAGCTCGCGGGAGGAGCAGTCGCCACAGGGAGCCCGAGCCCCTCTCAGGGCCCAGGGACCGGACCCCCCCCAGGGGCAGCAGCCCTGTTCTGATGAGGCATCCAGGCCGGGCCCCTCCGCTCCCCTCGTCAGTGCTCACCCAGCAAGTTCCCGGCCCGACGGCTCCCATCTGCAGTCCTGATGCCAAGGAGCTCAGTCCAGACACGGGCAGTTCTGATGCAGTTCTGAGACACGAGGGACGTCCCTCGCTCCGTCAGGAGCAAGACACAGGCGCCCATGCCCCCTCGCTGGGCGGAAGGGGTCTGTGTCGAGTCCACTCAGCCGGCCACTGCCCCACAGACGGCCACGAGCCACGTGTCCCCGCAGTGTCCCGCAGTGACCGCCCGCAGGCTTGTGCACGGAGCCCACCAGCTCCTCACAGTGAGGACTCGGAGGCCACCTGGCAGGCCGCTGCCCCCAGACACTGCCGCACAGCCTGGCGAGTCAGCCTGGAGCGCCTGTGAGCCTGAGGCTGCGCCAGGCAGTGAAAAGCCGGAAGGACGTGACAGGGAATGAGGCTCAGGACCGAGTGACGGACATGGCGCCTGGGGGTGCCCGGCTGCCAGGAGGGGCGACGCGTCACCCGCTCGGACAGTCACAGGGCCACGGGCCGCCTGGGCGTGGACACACCTTCCCGGGCCTCGGGCAAGGCTCAGGCTCATGCAATCATCCCGCTGGACTCCACGGTCAGCGGGCAGGGGAGTCAGGGGACTTGAGGCCGGGCCTCGGGTTCTCGGCAAGAAACGGGCCACTGCCTCAGGGACTGGCCGCTCACCGCCAGGTCTCCGAGCGGGCGGGGACTCCGGTGTCCTCCTTGACACGGCCGCGTGTGCGCTGGGACCACTGCACAGCAGATGCGGCCCCCGGCAGCCCCCGAGACACGGGGTCCTCCCACGGCTGAGAAGACGGGCCTGGCCACGCCCTCGGCAGGGAGGCCCCAGAGGGAGCAGGGAGGTGACGCGGACGGAGGCCTCCGTCTGCCTGGGGCACGGGGCCACCTCACAAGGCCTTCTGGTGCCCATTGGCTGCAGGCTTGGAGCCGTCCGAGTCCCGGGCAGGGTTCGAGAACTGCAGTTTGTGAAGGCCTGCAAAGGAAGGAGAAGTGCTCAGACAGGGCACAGCGGAGACAAGCCTGGGGCAGAGGACCGGCGTGGGGCAGGGAACGGTCAGGTGGAAAAGACACAGGCCTGCCCAGCCACATCGCGCGTCGCCTCAGGGCCACATGGGCCCTCCCGGCCATATGACGCGTCACCTCAGGGCCACGAGGCTTCTGACACCAGGGAGGAGCCACAGAGCTGCAGCTGGCACCACGTGTTGGGACATGCCTCCCGCACAGCCCCGGGGGCTGAGGAATTCATTGCCGTGAGGTGCCGATCTCCCTCCTGTCACCCCGGAACCTCAGACGAGGAATTTCTCCCACGAAGCCCCAGGAACCAGGTGGCTGCTGTCCCACGGCACGTCACTTGGCACCAGTGTGTCTGCGCCTCCCTTCTCCGAACGTGCCCCCCCACCCCCGTGCGTGCCACTCCTGCGGCCCATCTTGCTACGGTCCCTGTTTGCTGATTTGGGCCCCCGAGAAGCTCTAACCACCCAGGGACCCAGTTTCCCTGTTTCCACCCCTCACAGCCTCACTGGGCCTGCGGGAAGGGGCTGAGGCAGGAGGAAGGCGCCCAGCCCTGGCCGCGCCCGCTGGGGGGACGGTCCAGGTCCTCAGGACAACGCTTCCGCCCAGGGCTGCCGGACTGTCAGGCACTGCAGGAGGCCACAGAGGGGAGGGACGAGCACCACAGCCAGGGCCATGAGGGGCCACGGGAGCTGGCCTGCCCGGAGGCACCGAGCCTCAGCCCTCCTGGGACAAGACGCGGGAGACTCCTAGAGGGGCAGCTCCGCCCCAGAGGCTCGGGCCCAGGCCCACTCCGGCCTCGTCCTGCGGGCTCTGAGTCACAGACAGGCACAGCTCACTGACTCTGTGGGGGTCACTGCAGCGCCAAGGGAGTCGGCCACGCTGGCTCAGCCTCGGTCTGCAGCTTTCAGGCTGGCCTGGACGAAGGGCCACATGGAAGCTCGGGCACTGCGGCGGGGACGGGACACTCGGGACCGGGCGTGCCCGGGGAGAGAACGGCACACCAGGCAGGAGAGCCAAGCGTGTGGGAGGAAGGGGGACAGACAACAGCGAGTCCGAGGGGACGAGACAGCGGGGACGGACACAGGGCAGGGGTCAGGGACAGGGACACCAGGACCGGCCAAGGGAGACACTGCGAGCAGCGGAGAGCAGACGCCGGACAGTGGCGGGGAGGGTGGGCGGCCACGAGGAGGCGAAGGTGGCGTCCCGCAAGCCCACCCTGGGGAGCAAGGAGGGGCGGGGCGGGGCGGGGCGGGGGCCGCCACCACCTACCCAGGGCGCGGAGCAGCTCCTCGCGCACGGCCGAGGTGAACTTGCGCACGAGGCAGAGGGTGGTGACCACGGCGAAGAGCAGGTTGTAGGCCAGCACGATGTGGAAGTTCCCCAGCCAGTTGAACCTCCCGAAGTCGCCCAGCAGGTCGAAGCGCGTGATGCCTGCAGGAGGGCGGGCGGGAGAGGCTGAGCCAGCGCCTGCCCGGGCCGCCCTCCCCAGCCCCGCTCGGCCCCCCACCAGGGACACAGCCTGGGCAGCCCGGCCTCGGGAGTGGCCTGCAGACACTGCTCTGAGGGCCGTCCTCGGCCGGCAGGGATGTGCCAGGCGGGGCCCCGCCTCCCCCGGGCCGCAGGAAAGGGCCAAACAACATGGAACCGTGTCACCGAGACGCGCCAAGGGACACATGCCTCACGCCAGCGCCTGAACCCGGCCCGGCCTGCGAGCACTGCAAGGCATCACCCTGAGGAGTGGGACGCACGTGTGAGTCCACAGGAAACTGCCCGCTGCCCTGCCCTGGGGGCGGGAGGAACCCGAGCGCAGCCAGTGGGGACGCACCTCTGCACGGCCTCGCGAACGCTCCCTGCAGCCGGAAGGCGCCCCCAACAGGCGGCCTGAGCCAGAGACCTCGGGGCTCCCTGCCCACGGGGCCCAGGGAAGTTCAGGGGTGCCGGGCCTCACACATGGGCAGCCACATCCCTGGCCGGAGGCTCCTTACACACACACACACACACACACACACACACACACACACAGCTGTATGTCACAAAGGTCGCTGGCGGAGAAACTGACGAGCGTCCGTCCGAGGGGAAGGCTTCCCCAGGTCTATCAAAGTCCCAACTGACACTCTGGGCACCGTCCAGCCCCGCACAGTGCATGCGGGCAGCGCAGGGGCAGGCCCACCTTCCAGAGCAATGTCCCCCCGGCCCTGTGAAGGGGCCCTTTCCCTGCGACGGACTCGGCGCATGTGCCCCTCGCCAGCCCCGGGGGCCCGGAAGGTGCCGTGTGTGCTCCAGCCGGGAGGAGGCCAGACCCGCGGTGGGCCAGGGCGCGAGGGGAGTGAGCGCTGGCCTCCCCACGCCGTCCTCACCTCGGGGCTCCACCCGGCACCTGCCGTGGGCACCGTCCTGGCTGACAGCCACCTCGGAAACCAGCACGGGAACAGGCGGGCCTGAGACGGGTCGCAGCAAGGGAGTTTTCCGAGCCTAAACTCCCTTCGGAACAGCACTGGTGCGGAGAGTCGGCTGACCGGTCACTAGCTGCTCTACGCCCGGCACACCAAAGCCCTCGGGAGGCCACAGCGGGGAGACAGGCCGAGGCTCCGGTCAGGCTCTGCGGGCAGGCGCGGTTCCAGCGGCCACCAGGCCCCTGAGTGGGGTCGCTGGAGGGGGCAGGGGCGAGGCGGGGATGAGGAGAGGGGGGCGGGCGGGGGCAGAGCTGAGTGGGACGGGGGCGGACGGCAGGCCAGGCTTAGCCACGGGCCAGCCCTGCCGTGGCAGCAAAAGGGTCCCCCAGGGGTTCGTCCAGCGGCGCTGCCCCCGGGCCCAGACGACGTTCACAGGGTCACGGGCCCTCAACCCGACACCTGACCGCCCAGGGAGAGGGGACAGCAAGACGGAGCCGGCAGGCGTTCAGTGTATCCCGCCACAGCTCGACAGCACGGCCGTGGCCGAGGCCACACGGGCCACAGGAGGCCCAGAAAGCAGGCGGGGACAGGAGGGACACAGCACAGCAGGGTGCGAAGGGAGAACGCCAGGAAACGTCCCCGACTCGGTGAAGCTACAGACCGCAGGTTGAGGAGGGCGAGGGACAGCGGCAAGGAGAGCCACGGGAGGGACCCGGCCACGCCTCCGGGAGCCGCTCGGAGACGGCGCTCAGGAGGCTGAGAGCGACCGGAGACCGGGCCGGGGCAGCGCCCGCTCTCGGCCCAAACCACACAGCTGAGGCTGAGGCAGCAGCTGCGGACGCACGGACGCGTCTCCGCAGGCCCACGGCCAGCCCGGACCGGGGCTCGCCCGGAGCCACGGGGCCTCGGACACACCCGCCTGCCGCAGGCGCAGCTCCCCGGGAGGGAGGAGAAGAGCAACGGGTGCGAGGCAGGGCAGGGCAGCCGCGCAGGGGCGAGTAAGGGCGACAGCTCTGCGACCCGGCAGGGAAGCGACCCGGGCCGGCAGCAAGGCAGGGGTGAGGAGGGGAGCAGGGGTGAGGGGAGCGCGAGCAGGAACGGCAGGGCCAAAGAGGCGGAGGCAGGATCGACGGCGAGCCCCGAGGGAGACGGGACCCCGAGACCAGCGGGAGGGGACGTGGGCAGAGACACCGCACCCCAGGGAGCCACAGGCATGACGAGGCATGACCCAGCCCCGCCCACAGCGACCGCTACACCCAGACCTGGGACCGAGGGCGTTCGAGTCGGGGCCACGGACGCCAACACGCTAACGGCACGCAGCAGGGCCGACACAGCCTCCTCGCGGGGCTCAGCCTGGGTCTCGGACACACCCATGGGAGGCGACGGCTGCAGAGGCTGGAATAACACGTGCGCCAACGAGCTGGTGTTTCCTGACTAGGATGAACTGCAGGAGCACTGTCCCTGGAGTAGGGCCAGTCTGTTTCCCGCGTCTAATCTACACTCTCCTTAGAGACGTCAGGTCCCCTGGCAGCAGCTGCAGCCCAGAGGGGTCCAGGTCTCCCCACAGGCCAGCGACCTCCAGTGAAGGGCCGCACCCCGATGAAGAAGCGCCCGCTTTCAGACACAGAATTCCCAGGGCTGAGGCGGGCGCCCGGACCACGAGGCCGAGGGTCCGGTGAGGACAGGCCCCAGAAACACCCCAGCGGCATCAGCCCCGAGCGACAAGAGCCGAAGCCAGAGACCGAGTTCTGAAAGCAGCAAACTCCAGCCAGGACTCGCCCCCCGGGGGAGCCCAGTGCACCCCCGCAGAGGTGCAGCGGGACGCAGGCAGAGGTCCGCAGGAGGCGGCGGCAGGGGAAGGGCGGGAAGGGGAGGGGAGCTGCCTCTGAAGCCAGCTTTGCTCGAAGCCTGAAAGGAGCTTCTCCAAGGCCAGAGACTCCCGGACCCTGGGTGTGGCCTGACGCATGGAGGAGCTGGTACAATTCAAGCTCTTAAATAATTATTTAAATAACAGTATCAAAGGTTCTTTCTGCACCTACTCAGGGGCTTTTTTTTGGTAGAGATTTTTTTCCTTACTGATGCAGACACTTAAGCATTATGCACAACGTTTTCTAGCACAAAACCAACATTACCTTTTCAGGATGGGACATAGTTTTATACTTTTTAGAGGTCTGTCCAGATGTTCCTTTAAATTTCTCAAAGCATCCTCATTCTATTTTGTGTAAATTTTTAAATGAATTAGCCTAGAATTATTCACTATATTGTTTAATTAGATATATAATTTATAGATATATTAACATTTATATTAATTTAATTTATAGAGATTGTTTTAATTTATAAAAGATCGTCTTTGAAAAACTCCCATTACCTTACCCGTGACACCAATGTTGCGGAATTTCAGGAGTTCAGCTTCCGCATGTTGTCACCACCTCCGAGACAAGAAGATAAAGGCCTCTCTCGGGTGTGGGTGTGAAGACCCCAGCAAGGGCACAGAACTGGCAACAGGCATCGTACAGAGGTGGGCTCACTGGGGGCAGGGCAGGGCGGGAGCGCCCCTCGGGGAGAGGGTACTGGAACAATGGATGCACGAAAGGAGCACTAACGGGAGTATGAAACAGTAAAAAGGGACAATTTATAATGCCCTAAAAATAACCCGATCTAAAATTCTATACCCAGCAAATGTATCTGAGGACAAAGAACAATAAGGTAAAATCCAGACATTTTCTACCAACAAGGGGAATGAGAACAGGGGACACACACACACACACACACACACACACACACACACACACACAGAGGCTCAACCTGTAACGGCATGACAGTGATCTCTTACACAAGGGCCTAATGGTGTTCGGGCGAGAGACCACTCTCTCCACACTCTTTCTTCTAAGAAAACTTTTCTGGATCATTTTAGCAGATCATTCATCACAAGCAACACAAAATACATTCTTCAGGTCCTGCTTTGGGGGCAGGCCTGGGGGGAGTGAAAATATTCTAAATATGGTGGTGGGCACTGTAATGGGGTGGGGTTGGTGCTGGAGCACTCGATGCGATGAATCATCGTGAGCTGCACGTGAGACTCACCCCGGCCCGCAGGAAGCCACGGTGGCTGCGTGGGAAGGGCCCCTGGGGTCCGAGACACGGGGGCTGTGGGTCGGGGGCTCCCGTGAAAGGCTTGCGGGCACCTGCCCAGGGCGCGAGGACAGCCGGGCGCCGGGTGGGTGGTGACAGTCCCAGGCTCACCTGCCATAGTGCGGGGGCAGGGGACATGGTGCCGGTGTGGGCCGGGGCCCGGGGCCCGGGCAGCCCATGGGCCAGTGAGCAGCCGTCAGGTGAGCGGGGCCATCCCTGCACTCCTGCCGCTGCCTGTGCACACATGGGCAGAAGGAGGGGTCAGGGGCCGAGGGGCTCGGACCAGCGGCAAGCAGACCCATGGGGTGGGCACGTGGGGCTCCAACCCCCCCCACTCAGGAAACCGAGGCCCCACCTGCCCCCTGCAGCCGTGCTGAGCCCCACGGCACCTGCACATGCCCACGTCCCTCTGCTGCCCACCAGGGGCCAGGAGCTGGGAGAGCGAGGGGAGGGCACTGCCAGCCACCAGGCCGGCTCCTGGCAGGGCCGCAGCAGGGCGCAAGCGGGGTGCAGCCACCCCAGACACCTCACGGGCAGCTTGGTTTGGTCTCTGGGTCACACCGGCGATGCTCAGGGGTTGCTCCCGGCTCTGTGCTCAGGAATCCCTCCCGGTGGGACTCAGGGGACCCAATGGGATGCCGGGGATTGAACCCAGGTAAGCCACCCAGAGCTGGGGCTCCCTGTAGGGTGCACACGCACACACAAAGGCACACACACACACACACACACACAGGCAGGACCGGGCAAGGCAGGCACAGGGCAGGAGGGAAGAGGCAACTGTGGGACACCAGCCACTCCTGGGCCACAGTGGGCTGACACGAGGGTGGCCGGACACTTGCGCTGGACGCCCTTCCCTGGCTCTGCTCTGCACAGGAAGGAGGGGAGGGGCGGGCAGGAGCAGACACAGGGAGCCCCGTGCACCCCTCGGCCGGGAAGGTGGCCCAGTTGGTAAGGAGCACAGGGCACGCATCTACACTCACCTGTCGACGCCCGCCTGTATAGACCCACCTGGTCTACACCCACCTCATCTACCCACCTCCTCTACACCCACCTGGTCGACAGAACTGCACGGCCCGTGAGGTACACACCTGCCCAAGTCCCGCGGGCCGCTGGGAGGAACCGTTGTTCCTTTCCTTTACTGGTAAGTGACTCAGGGGGGCACGCAGTGCAGTGCGAACCCCAGCCGTCCCAAAGCACCGCCAGGGTGACCCCGGGGACAGAGCCAGCAGTGACCCCCTGAGCCCTCTCCTCACCAGACACAGTCACTGCTCGGGACAGGCGTCACTTCACCCCTCGGTGACTTCGTCACCGCACGTCTTTGCTGTGGGGTGTCCGGTCTGGACTTTGAGTACCCTGACACACTGTGAAGCACACATGCCCACCCCCCTCCCACGCCCGGTCCTGACGCGGAACTAGACTGTGACGCGTCTTCTCCAACGCCACTGGCGTGCGTCTGGCAGGGCAGGGCGGGGGCACGAGAGAGCCGGCGAGAGCGCTCCCTAAAGCGGACCCCTCCTCGGACCGGAGACAGAGACCCACTTCACCTCCGGGAGGTGGCTGGGAGGCGGGTGGCAGATGACATGGGAGGGTCGGACGAGGAGAAGTTCTGGCTCGTCGGAAGAACAAGCGGTCTGAACGCTCAAGGCACTTTAGAATCTGCATTTGGGTCCTGTGTGACTTATAATTCACAGAAGAATTTGGGGATAAAAAAGCAACCAAAAAGAGAGAAAATTTAGGGCTGGAGCGACAGAGAGCAAGCGGGTAGGGTAGGGTGTTTGCCTCGCATGAGGTTGACCGGGTTCGATTCCCAGCTTCCCATAGGGCCCCTGAGCACCACCAGGAGTAATTCCTGAGTGCAGAGCCAGGAGTATCCCCTGTGCGTCACCGGGTGTGACCCAAAAAGAAAGAAAAATTTAAGTGCAAATTGTGTTGCCAGAGACCTAGTCACACGTGACACAGGAAGCTCCTGGGAGCTACCAGGGCCCAGACACGGGCAGGTCCAGGGTGAGTCCTGGCGTGGAGAAGTCACCACACCATCTCACTGCACCACCCCCAGCTCGGCGCAGAGGCCAGACCAGCCCCGCTGTGACGTCACCAACCTGGCTCCCACTCAGCCCCGGTGCCACCCACTCCACGGCTCTGGGCTCAGGGGGATGCTCAGGCCACTCGGCCTGGCCTGGTACGTGCGTAGGCACCGGGGCCCCGTGGACGGGTGTGGGCCTTCGACTCCTTGTGCAGGAAGCAAACCCGCGTCCAACACAGCTGATGCCAGCCCCGGGGTGTCCAGAACAGAGGTCCCGTGTGCCTGAGAGAATGCGCTGGCTGCCGGGCCCCTCCAGGTGGCGTCTGGAAAGCCGTGGGAAGGGACACGAGGAGAGGGGAGCTGCACGAGGCATGTTCAGTGGCCGAGCCCCAGGGAGAAGGAAGGTAGTGCCGGAGCGCCGAGCGAGAGGGGACCCTGGGGTGGGCGGGGGTCCCAGAGCTGGAGCACCGGACCTGACACCCAGCCACGAATACTCTCATTCGGCAACTCTCGGTGGTTCGATTTGAAAAGCATCTTCAAATGGCACTTAGGAAGGAGCCAGCAGAGCTTGTGCAGGAGACACGGCCGGCAGGGAGCGAGGCCCCAGGAGCCTCCCCGAGCCCAGGGGGGCCCCCGCCCACGCAGGGCGGCTGCAGCCAGCGCCTGCCTGGGAGGACCCCGGGGCACGCCCTGGGCCCATCCCCGAGCCCTCTGCCGGGGCGTCCGGACCCACATTCCCAGGGTCCGGCTCAGGACCGTTCTCTGTCCTCGGCCGTCTTGAAATCAAAGGCTCCATTCGAAAGAGTCAACAGAGGCGCCACCAGCAACTCGACCGTCTGCATGTCCCATAATACCGAACGGCAGCTTTTCTTTCGGTCCAGAAATGTGCTTTTTCAAGACTGTGAAAGGCCTCTATGAATCTGTTTAGCGTTCTTCTTTCTTTTCATCTATTCAGCGCCGCTGGGCAGAACACGGCACGCAGGGCGTGTGGGCGCTGGCGAGGCCCCGAGGTCCACTGTACCCTAATGCGCCCCGTAATCCTGTTTGAACAGCTGGGCCCAAGCATTTGTTCGCCGCATTCTAATTGTTCATCTTGCTTTTTTCTTCTCCTCGGTTATCTCTATGGCAAACTGCTCGGGAATTTAATTTGTTGATCTTCAAAAAGTAAATTTTGACATTAATGTTTTCTTTGTATTAAAACTATACTCAGCATGTAATTTTCTTTCAGAAAATCGGCATCTCACGCTAGTGACGACTAATCTTCGCAGCGCGCACGGAGGCCCAGAGATGAGAAAGGGACGGCCGAGCGTCTGCATCTTAGGGAAATCCCTTCTCGCTGTCCTAATGCCGAGGAAACACTTAGCTGCACATCAGGCCGGCAAAGGGTCTGCCTGGGGCCGCCCAGCTTAGCGCCCGCTGCAGCTGCGGGGACAATGGGGCGGGCGCACAAAGGGGAGACCCGCGCGGCGGCGCCGGGATCGCCCACCGGCACGGGGACGCGCGTCTCCCTGCGGCCTGGGCTTCTCGGGAGAGCGGCCGGGAAGGCCCCGCCCGCGGCCCGGCTGGCTGGCCGACTCCTGGCCAGGAGGGACTCAGGGCGTCTTGTCGGGAGCGGCCCGGCCAGCCGAGCATGCCGGGAGCCACGTCTGAGAGAGCACCGGCCAACGCACGGAGCACTGACCAATAGCAGCCGTGCCCTCGCGCGCGGGAAGGCCCAGACCCGCGCCTGTGACGGTGAAGAGATGATCGAATGTGCCTCCAGCTGAAGTGCTCAGACAAGGGGACACAGAGGAAGGGAAAAGCAGATGTCCCCCCTGGGCTGCAGGACTCGGCGCCAACGGGGCCCCGGTGGGGGTCCCGGGTGGGGCATCTCAACAGTGGGGACCCCTTTCAGAAGGCAAAGTGGCTTCGCAGAAGGCTCAGACTTTCAGGTTTTGACCCACATTCTAAACCGTATCGCTAAAAACGTTTATACTCCAAGAGTCGGTTCTACTTTCTTCAGACATTTCGCTAGTTTGTGCCAGCAGTTTCCTGCCCGGAGGCCGGGCAGCTCCGAGGGTGGTTTGGGGGCCTCTGCCCTGCAGGCTCAGCCCGCGGCTCCCGAGAGCCGGACAGTGACAGGAGGCCCCAGGCGGGCAGCGGCCCGTCGTGACTCACCCAGGGTCCTGGACATCACGGGCAGCGCAGAGCTGAGCACCAGGATGGACACGCAGTTCCCGATGATCTGCGGGGAGCAGGGGGACAGGGCGGTCACCCCGTGGGAAGGCGGGGACACGAGTGCCGCCGTGCCGGCTCCCCCTCGGGATGGTGCTCATGAGCGCCGAGTCTCGTGGGAGCCTCGAGGCAGCGCCTCACCCCCACGCGGCGTCCGCACCGTGGGAGCGGCCGCCTGAACCCCGCGCGGGCGAGCGGCAGGGCAGCCACTCGGGTCCCTCCACGCAAGGCCAGACTCGGCTCGAGCGACACCCCGACCCTCCGGGTCAGGACAGCGTCCGGCACCTACTGCTCTTCGCCGGACGAGGGGCGCCAGGAGACCCCCTGCCCGCCCCCACGAGGAGCCGAATTCCCCGAGCCCCCCCCGACTCGCGTGCGGCCAGGACACGGCGGAGGCCCTCACCTTGGTCATGGTCGTGTCGTCCTTCCTGGGCATGAAGCTCCCGAAGACGCGGAGGCTGTAGAAGCCGACCACCGAGGACACCATCAGGTAGCCGCCAGCGTCAAGGGCCACGGCGAGAGCAGGCCCGGCCCCGCCCACACGCCCCCAAAGGATACAAAATCAAGATGATCTCCAGCGCGGCCCCCACGAAACCGAAGGCAGAAAGAGACGCACGTCCGATCCCCGGGCCCTGTGGGGGACACGCTTCAGCACACGCTGTGCACGCGTGGCATCCCTAGTGGCCTCGGGCTGGGGGCAGGCGCCCCGACTCCTCCCGCTGCCCACCTGGGATCAGCCCTCCCCCGGGATCTCAGAGGCGTCTCAGAACCACGTGTGTGCTGGGGGCCCCCCCCCCCCCGGGGCCAGAGGACAGGAGGGACCCGCACACGCCTCCCCCACCGGGCCTGGGAGCCGAGTCCCACGGTGGGGCCTGACGGGCCTCCTAAGGCAGCGCGGACGTGGCCCCAGCACCAGCTTGGTCAAGACCCAGCCATGCCCACCACCCAGGGAACGGGAGCCCAGAGGGGCGTGCCTGTGACAGGGCGAAGGGCCTCCCTCCTGCAGGGGCCAGACCGAGCCCGGGACTGACAGGTCCACGCCACACTGGGCTCGGGGCCGGGCTGGCAGAAGCACAGCTGTGCGCATCCCGGGCCGCCGTGGGCAAGGACGGGGCACGGAGGAGGGGCAGTGCCCACCGGGGCCAGCCCCCACGTGGGTCCCACTGGACAGCTCTCGGGACAGGGACATGGACATGGAGACGTCTCTGGAGACGCCCCTCCCCGGGGCTAGACTCGGGACAAGGGCCCCAGAGGCCCCAGGCCCGAGTCTCCGGACACTCAGGTGCACGGGGAGGGCTGCCCACACAGGCATGCCGAAGGGGGTCTCCGTGGACCAGCGCAGCCCACGTGAGGGGGCTCCTGGGCCCATGGAACAGACCCTGCATGCGTGTGCGCTCCTGCCCACACAGACACACATGCACGAAACGTTCACACATGCACGTGCTCATGCCTGCGTGAGAACACATGCACTAACACGCGTGCACAGTCACACAGACGTGCACTCAGAGGCACACAGACATGCGTGCACACGCGTGCACTCCCTTGCGGGCACACAGGCACACACGTGACACGGCACAGGTGACACTGCCCTCGGGGGAGCGCGGGTGCCGCCCCTCTTACCCGGGACCCCTTGGGCATGGCGGTCTCGTCCACCAGCAGGCACAGGATGTTGCAGGCCACCAGCAGGACCGAAATGGCCTGCAAGGCAAACGGGCATCAGCTCTGCCCCGGACAGACGGGCGCTCAGCCCCCCGGGCAGGAGGGAAGACCACACTGCAGGAAAGGGAGGACCGCAGAGGAGGGAGGACCGCGCCGCAGAGGGAGACCGCGCTGCAGGGGCCGCTCGCTGGCTTGCTGGGCCGGCCCTGAGTGGACGCCAGGGTGGCCCCGGCCCTGAGTGGACGCCAGGGTGGCCCCGGCCCTGCTCTCCCTTCCCGGTGGCCCCGAGACGGGTCCAGGCACTCGGGGGGCCGCGGCAGCGGGCGGGCGCTCACCGTCTCGATGAGCAGCAGCACCATGACGGCGGGGTACACCAGGTTCCTCTCCCAGGCCGACGCCTTCTTCCGCCGCTCTGCCGGGGCCAGACAGGCAGGGGTTGAGGCCCGCTCGGCGCAGTCGGGCCGTCTCTCTCGGGGGCTCCGCGCCACCCCGGGGGCCACAGGGCTCACTCGGCCAGCACCCGGGTCAGTCCTGGCCAACCCTCTGTGGTGCCGGGGACCGTGCCCGGGCCACCCCGTGCCAGCCAAGCGGCCCGCCCACTCGGAGCTGCATGCCCCGGCCGCAGAGTCTGCCGAGAGCTGGGATCTGGTTTTAGAATCGAGGGTTCAATTCTCTCTCTCAGCATGAAAGTCAGCTTTGAAACGGGCCGGCACTGTCGCAGCAGCTTTGAACGCCCGCTCTGCCCACTCTCACCTGAACCCCGCAGAGACAGCCGCCTGCTCCGACTCTCCAGGGCCCAGCGAGGCAGCTCGGGAGCCTGCAACAGGGCCCAGCCAGACGCGGGTGGTACCAGCCCACGCGGGAGCCCAGAGGGGACGGCGGGGCGGGAACGGCTGCCGGGACCACCGACCTTCCTCCCACTCCCCACCAGCCTCTGCCTCCTGCCTCGGGCTCCTGACAGCGATGGCTCCGCCCGCGTCCAGGCGTGTGCAGCCGAGGCACCGGGTCCCCGGGGCTGGCCCTGGCCTCACACAGCAGAGGGCAGCAGTGGCCGCTCGGAGAGGGAAGGGCCGCCCTGCCAGAGGGAACTTGGGCTGAGGCCGCAGAGAAGGTGGACTGGCAGGGGGCAGGCCTGCCCGCCCTAAGGGCCCGTCCACGGGGGAGCGAAGGGGACACCACCCGAAGGTTGGCGTCTGCGCCGCCACGGCCAGATGCCCGCCACAGCCCCGGGAAGGCAGACGGGGTGCGGCACAGAGAGAAAGGAGGCAGGAGGCACCAGGCGGGTGCAGACAAACAATCGGGTGGAAACCCCGAGACCGGGAACCACCACAGAAATCTCAGAGTTTTCGTTTGTTTCCGTTTTTGTGTTTATTTTGATCCATTAGGTCAGACCCAACCGTGCTCAGGGCTTACTCCTGTCTCCGTGCCCAGGGGTCGCTCCTGGCGGGGCTTGGGGGGCTGATTGTGGTGCCAGGGATCAACCCTGGTCAGTCGCATGCAAGGCAAGTGCCCTCCCTGCTGTCCCATCGCTCTGGCCCCCTTAAAAATGGTATTTAATTTCCCCTTCAAAATGGTATTTCTGAGATGCCGTGATTCACGAAGACGCTCCAGGCAAGGCCGGGCCTGTGCCTCAGCTGACGGGGGGCCAGGACTCACACCCCCAAAGGAGGAGGGCAGCACACGGGGTGAAAGGTGAAAGGCCACAGGGGGCCCTGAGTGCCCTGGGCCAGGCCGCCAGAACGCCCCTCCCCCCAGACAGCACTCTGATAACGCCCCGGTGAAGAGCAACGGTCTCCACACGCTTCCCTCTAAGGAAACTTGTTTGGAGCACTTTCAGCGGCTTTTCATAACAAACAACACAAAATGGATTATTCAGTTCTGCTTTGGGGCGGGGGTTGGGGTTCCGGATGGAAACAACTGAAATACAGTGGTGGGACTGGTGGTGGGTTCGAGTATTAAATGTAACCAGATACTGTGAACTGCTTTATAAAAGTAAAATAAAAAAAAAAAGAAAAGACAGAGCTCTGAATTCTGCAACAGAGGTTTCCAGCTGGACGCGAGTGTCCGAGGCCACGGGCCGGCGTGGAGTCGCCGAAACGCAGCCAAGCGCAGGCTGAGCAGGGTGAGGGGGCTGTCGCTGCGGGCCCAGGCCCCAGCCCCAACCGTGACAGCCACGGGAAGGTGAGATGTGGGAGGGGGAGGGGGAGGGGACCGAGGAAGAGGATGGAGGGCAGCAGTGGGAGCGTCCCACCTCTCCAGGGCCGGGCCACTGGAGGACCCAGCCTTGGGCTGTTTAAGAGCCGCAAGTCCTGGAGGTGTCCAGCAGGGGCAGGACCGGTCAGAGCCCAGTGCAGCCCGCACCGCCCGCCTGTCCCAAAGAGGCGCCGTGGGCTGTGGAGGGGGCCGGGAGGGGAGAGTCAGGTACAAGAGACCAAGCACTGGACAGGGAGGTGGCCGAGAGCCTGGTGCTGGGCACGGGCCACTCACAGGGACACGGGGGAGCAGGGCTGAGACGGACAGACCCCACAGCGCTAGGAGCTGATGAGACGGGGAGGGCACGGGCGGGCACGGCCACACACGGCGTGCCCACAGCCAAGGTGCCCACATCCAGCTGAGCCCAGCGGGACGGGCCCGGGCAGGGCTTGAGGAGCAGAGCCGGGCCCGGCCACCGACAAAGCACCCGCCGAGACTGCCTTCCGAAAAGTGGATGGTCACACGAGGTACACGAGGCGGCCGTCACAGAGAGACGGGAGGGCGGGCGGGGCCAGCTGCCCGAGGTGGAGGGAGGGCAGGAAGAGACGTTCCCCGAGCAGGAGACCGGGGTCCGAGGCCCAGGATAGCGAGACCCTCCCCCCAAATGCAGAGTGTCGGGGCTTTCCAGTGAAGCTGGTGGGAACAGCAGCATCTCTTAACCTTTTCGATATTTCAGGCCAAGAAAAGTCCCCAAGGAGAAACCAGGGCCGACACACGTGCCCAGCAAAGAGACACGGTACCTAGTTTTGTCTTCAGCGTCTTTACGTTTTCAAGCTCTTGTTCCAGCTCCGCTACACTGTATCCCACGGACGAGGACAGTCCTGTGGAAAAGAGGAATCTGAGAGGGACCGAACAGGAGGGGGGACCCTCACATCCCACGGACATGCGGAACCGCCCTCCGGCCCTGACCGCCGTGAGAGAGTCCACCACCTCAGAACCTGGCGCGTGCTTGGTTGACCCCGACCACCGGCTCCCGCTGACCAGACACAGCGGCTGGACATTCCGACCCCAGAGCGAGGGCGGGGGGCGAGAGAGCAGTTCCTGCCATCGAGGCAGACTGGGGGCTGGAGCACTGCAGGGCTGAGGCCCGGGTGCGCGCAGCTCCGTGACCGAGCATCTCACCGTGACCCCGTTCAAAGAAACGGATCCCACGAAGACCCCTCCTGACACACCTCGCACTCCACTCGCCAGGCGGCGCCCAGCCCGGCCTCCACGTCCCCACGCTGACACCTCGCCTGCACGGCAGAGGGGCTCACGGCTCAGGGCGCTCTGCCCGCCGTCAGGAGATTCGTTTTGAACGTGCACAACGCACACAGTCCTGTTACTCCTGCCGACAGTGCTCCAAACGCACACCGCTGGGCGTGGGCCTTGCGCCTGACGCCCACAGGGCAGTGAAAGGCCACTCCTCGTCCAGCAGCCCGCCGGAGAGGACCGCCACCACCCACACTCCACCGGCTCATGTTCTCAGCACCCCCGGACTCCGGGCCGTGCGTCCCCGGGGCTGGGCACCTGGCCTGCTGCTCTGCCCCACGGACCTTCCCTATCTGCAGTGTCCACGTACTCCTGGCGGGCACAATCCCTGCGGCACTGCCCGTGTGTCCTCACTCCTCCTGCGCTCAGTGCCGTCCACTCGGTTTCCCCCTGCGGCTCTGGGCCCCCCTTCGCCTCTCCGCTGTCTTCACAGGGTGGAGCGTGTGTCTGACCAGCACCTACCAGGGGTTTAAGCTGCACACACCCCTCACCACTCTGAACATTGGGTACCAACTCTGCCGGGCCGGCGACCGAGAAGGAATCCCACATAGGACCCAGCCGGCAGTGTCCGGCCAGAGAGGGAAGGAGCGAGTGGCCGGGGCCCAAGTCAGGCAGGAGACACGGTGGCCAGAGCGGAGGGGCCACGTCCCCCCGGGAGAGCGGAGGGCTATGAGGGGGCCCAGCAGCTGCATCCCACCAGCCTGAGAGGAGTCCAGGAGGGGTGGGTGGCTGTACTCCAGCGCACAGCAGGAAGAGGGCCAGCAGCCATGGGGAGACGCCCTCCTGCCTCTCTGAGAATGCGGCTCAGGCCCCCTGCCCATGGGTGCCACCAGGTTCCTGCCCCGCTGTGCCCTGGAGGGCGGCTTGGGAAACCAGCCCGGATCACAGCTCCCTCCCTGCCCCAGAGTGACAAGGGGTCCGGCACCTGGCAGACCCCAGAGCAGCTCATGGCACGGGCAACAGCCTCTGGCCAGACCCTGGTCCCAGAGGCGTCCAGGGAAGCCCAGTCCCACCCCTCCTCCCCACCGGAGACGCCTCCTCAGACTGCCCAGTGCACTGGCCAGACAGTGGACACGCGTCGTGCCTCCTGGTGAGACGCACCCACGTGGACTCCGCCGGGTGCCCTGGCGGGGGACAGCGCTGGTCACGGGTCCCAGACCCCTCTCGGCTGTGGAGGGCAGCCGGGTGCCCCGGCCTCTGCCCCGGCCCGAGGCCACACACCTGCCCACGCCCACTGCCCCACGTGGCCCCCAACCGGGCACCCCTGCGTCTGCTCTGCCGGCCGCCGGGGTTCCCTGCCCGCTCGAACATCTGTCTCGGGCTGGGGACAGGCTCCGACTCTGCCTGCAGGACTGGGTGTCCCCGGACAGGGAGAGCTGGACACCTCACTGCCCAGCTCGGGCCTCTGGGGGAGGTGAGTCCAGTGCCCGTCTCAGGACGTCCATGCGTGCCTGAGCCCACACTGTGGGGAGAGCGGGAGGCCACGCGCGGGCCTGTCGAGGGTGTTGCCGCGGGGAGGGGGCACCCGGGGGTGCGGGGCTCAGCACCGAGGCCAGTCTTCCAGCCAAAGTCCACACCAGGCACCCGGGACTGGCCCTGCATCCCCCCACGAGTGTGGCCGAGGGCTAGCCCCACGGCCTCTCAGCTCTGGGCCGCGACTCCCAGGCCAAGCTCACTGGCCCTGTCCACCTGTGAGCAAGTCAGGCCCCAAGGCCCTGCCCACGGCCTGCAGGGCGCAGAGAGCACGGCAGGACCCTGACTCCAGAGACATCCCGGAGAAGCGTCTCCTCGCGGCCCTACTGCAAGCTGCATCTGGAACATTCCATGGCGGCATGTCTAGTCACCAAGTCAAATCTGTAGACAAAACCTGTTCGGGCTAGTTGTGAAAAATGGAAAGGGATTCTCCAAGAAAACCACAAAGCAGCTCATTTAAGGTCAATTTAACGGTATTATTCTGTTTTTCTTCCAGCTTCGACATAAGATTTCGCTACCTCAAAGGAAATGGAAAGAGTATCTATTTGCACTCCCCTGGGTGATTGGCAGCTCAGGGGCAATTAGTCCAGAATTACACTGTCACTAGCGCGCAATAAAAACACCTCCTTTCATCTCGCAGCGCGGCGGGAATACCTTCAGAGCGGCCACTTTGATCACCTAAGTATTTTTGATCCTGCCCCACCCGTCTCTGTGGATTCAGGAAAACTCATGGCTGGAGGCAACTCTTCCCGGCTTTATTCTTACACCGAAAGCCAGCGCGGCCGAGCAGCCCGCTCCCGGGAGAGCAGGCCTTCCCAGGGCCCGGTCCCCCGCCACGGCCGGGAGAGCCAGATGCGCGGCACCTGGCCCGGCTCCGCACGCGGCAGGCCCGGGAGCCACGTGTCGGCGGGAGACACCCAGCTGGCGAGGGCGTGGGACCCGGTTTCGCCCAGCGCCTGTGGCGAGGAGACGCCGGTGTAAACACGGCTGGCTTTCATGGGCCCGGTTAGCAGGAGCCCCGTGGCTGCGGGCTGCGATGCCCTCACGCGCCCGGCCCCCGGGGGCGCTGTCCCACGGTCAGGGGCTGGGCGGGTCCTGACGGTCTGTGGGGCCACGCCCGGGGCCAGAGCCCGGGCAACACCCCCAGCCCCACCGAGTGCCCGCAGCACACAGACGCACAGGAGCGAGGGGCCAGGGCCAGGACCCCCTCAGCCAGGCCTGCGACGCGGCTGAGCGTGGACGGGAGAAACCCACCAACACCCACCCCGAGTAACCCCAGCCGGCAGAAGACACAGTCAGCATGAGGTGCAGGGTATGAAGGTCCAATTCGGCTTCTTTTTCTCTTTTAGATGCAAGTCATCAGTGAAGCTTAAGCTAAAGGCATTTGTAAGACCATTCCCCAAGGGGCTGGAGTGATAGCACCGGGGGGAGGGTGTTTGCCTTGCACGCGGCCGACCCGGGTTCGATTCCCAGCATCCCATAGGGTCCCAGGAGTAACCCAAAAAGCAAAAAAAAAAAAAACCCATTTCCCGAACTTTCTGTCCCTTCCCACCACAGCGCCAGCCTGGCAAGGAGGCCGCCCACGGTTCTGACTCGGTCTCTGCAGGCAGAGTCCGCTGTTGGCTGAGCCCCCCGACTGCAGACACGCGATTTGCGGCCCGTCCCTCTGCTCTCTGGAGCCCCCGTCCTCTGGGCGGCGGGAAGCGTCGCCCCAGGCCCCGCTGCCCTGCCAGGGCCCGAGTCACGGTCAGAGACTCCTCGGGTCGGCTCGGGAGGCCAGAGCGCGGCACCTGCGGGCAAGTGGGCGCCAGGCCAAGAGGCCCACCCGGGACTCGAGTGGCCCAGGCCCCCACCCACCCGGGACGTCCCTTCAGCCACACCCACGGCGAGCAGTGCTCTGGAGCAAGGCGCCGCGGGGAAACGACGCGGAGCTGAGCCGAGCCCGCAGGAGGCGGCCAGGGGCACCGGGCCCTCGTGCCCAGCGCCGCGCCAACCCCCGGCCCGGACAGCTCCCCGGGGGCCCGGCCGCCCACCGCCCAGGGCTGACAGGACAAGGGCCGTGGCGGCCACCCCGCGGCGCACACGTGTGGACCGGCCCACCCTCCGCCCCAGAGCTGCGCATCCCCGAGCCCCTGGAAAGGCTCCTGTGGGAGATTAGGATCAAGTGGGGAAGTAATTGCTGCCCAAAGTGATACGCGCCTTATCGCAGAGATGAAAATACCACCTAACAAAACTGAATGGAATCATTAAGTTCAAAGCCGGCAATATTCTAAAATAAATTACATTCAAAGAACTGTGAAGGTTTTGAACTTAAACAACAAAAAATAATTCCTATTCATTATGGCACTTCTAAAGGCACCCAGTACCCCCATGGGCTATACACACAAGAAAGCTAATTATTTCAATTAATGCTGCTGCATTACTTAAACATTTAAACATGCTAATGACCTGCAGCCCTCCTCACCCTGGGAAGGGATTACAAAAGGCTTTCTGCCACAATTAAAGTAATGGGACTTTCTGTTGGACAGAGCTTCGGGAGGGAGGAGGAGGAGGAGGAAGAGGAGGAGGAAGAAGGGGAGAAGGAAGAGGAAGAGGAGGAAGGGGAGAAGGAAAAGGAGGAGGAGGAGGAAGAGGAGGAGGAGGAGGAAGAAGGGGAGAAGGAGGGAGAGGAGGAGGAGGAGGAAAAGGAGGAAGAGGAGGAGGAGGAAGAGGAGGAGGAGGAGGAAGATGAGGAGGAGGAGGAAAAGGAGGAAGAGGAGGAGGAAGAAGGGGAGAAGGAAGAGGAAGAGGAGGAAGGGGAGAAGGAAGAGGAGGAGGAGGAGGAGGAGGAGGAGGAAGGGGAGAAGGAGGGAGAGGAGGGAGGAAGAGGAGGAGGAGGAGGAAGAAGGGGAGAAGGAAGAGGAAGAGGAGGAGGAGGAAGAGGAGGAGGAGGAAGAGGAGGAAGGGGGGAGGAGGAAGAGGAGGAGGAGGAGGAGGAAGGGGAGGAGAAGAGAAGGAGGAAGAAGAGGAGGAGGAGGGGGAGGAGGAAGAGGAAGAGGAGGAGGAGGAGGGGGGAGGAGGAAGAGGAGGAGGAGGAGGGGGGAGGAGGTGGAGGAAGGAGAGAAGGAGGAAGAGGAGGAGGAAGAGGAAGAGGAGGAGGAGGAAAAGGGGGAGGAGAAGGAGGAGGAGGAAGAAGAAGGGGAGAGGGAGGAGGGGGAGCAGGAGGAGAAGGGGGAGGAGGACGAGGAGGACGAGGAGGACGAGGAGGACGCCTGCGTGCCTTCGGCCGCGGGGACGCCGGCCTGACCCCTGCCACGGCAGCTGCAGCCCGACTTCGTCCTCGGGGCCTTCCTGCACGCTCACCTCAGCACTGCCGCTTCCCTCCACGCATCCCCACCTCCCGCGTGAACTCGGACACGGCCCAGTCCCCGCCACACCTGCTTCCGCGCCCACAGCGTCCGCCCCCACGCAGGGGGACACGCGGCTCGACCCACGGGGCTGTGCTCGGGCCCGGGTGCTCGCTCGGCGGGGGCGCCGTGGCAGCCGGACTCTGCCTTCGCATCCACAGGACGCATGCTCCCCCCTGCTCGTGGGCCGAGGGGACAGTGGGCAGCCCACAGCCCCGCACGGCCCTGCTCCACCACGGACGGCAGCACCCACAGGCCTCACGGGACGGCACAGACCTGCCACGGGATGGTACCAGGCAGACCTACAGGACTGGAGGCCCCACCGCCAGCTCCGCTGCAGGGGCCACCAACTCGGGCTCGGGTGAAGTTCTCGGAGGGCCGGGAGACAGGACGAGGGGAGGGGGGCACCGGGCGGGTCAGCAGCACACGGGAGGCCCCGAGCGACCAGCCAGACCTTAGGAGAGGCCTCTGTGGCTGGCGCAGTGGCCGGCAGAGGGGCAGTGGGCAGAGGCACGCGGCAAACAGGGCCAGGGCTGCAGAGCTGCTGGCGGGGAGCTGACAGCTGGCGAGGGGGGGGGGTGCGCTGAGGCGCTGCCGAGGGCAGGAAGCCCGGCCCCTGGCCGCCCCGGGCACCTCACCAAGTGGGCACGGGGACCGCAGCCTCGAGCAGGGGGGAGGGGCAGGGCGGGGTCAGAAGTCGGGGCTGGGCTGGGGTCCGGGAGGTGAGGGCAGGGCGATGCCCGGGCCCGGGAGGGGACGTGAGGTGGCCAGAGCCCCTCGCCGGGTCTCCTGAGGACGCGGTCCAGAGCCGCTGGTCAGCCCAGGCAAGGCGGGTCACCCTGCCCGGGGAGGGAAGGGGCAGGAGGGGGCGGCCGGCAGAGGGGCCCCGCCAGGGAACTGCCCACGTGTTGCTGCGTCCTTCTGAAGGTCACCGCTGGAGACCCCTGAGAACAGGAAGGACTGGGGAGGAAGCCCCTGACGCCTCCCTGGCCAGGACCCTGGGCACCCAGGCCGGCGACCTCTGGCCAAGTCTGTGTGGCCAGAGCACAGCAGGGGGCCCAGAGCCGCCAGGCACGCAGCAGCCCACGGGTCTCGGGTCCTGCCGACAGCCAGGGGGCTGGGCTGCCTCACACAAGACCCAGCTTCCTTGCAGGTGCTTTCCCAGCTCCTCGGGGAGCCTCTCTCGGGGCTCCCAGGGCTTCTCTGCCCGCCCTGCCCGGGGGCCTCCTGCCTGTCACACGGCAGCCCCCACCGAGCAGGCAGCGACTCTGGACGCCACGTCCCCGGCCAGTGGGATGTGACGTGGCTAAGGCCACGGGCTCGGGGCTCCAACTCCGAGACCCGTCAGCCTCGGTGCCAACTAAGGCAGCTCTGCGCGTGGGTCCTGGGCCGCCCTGGCGCTGCTCCGGGCGCCGGATGCGGTGCAGGAGTCGGGGCTGAGCGCGGCCACAGCTGCACGCCAGGCAACGCCAAACCTCTGCCGTCTCTCCAGCCCAGAGGCGCTTTGAAGAGGGAGACAGACGCGGGACGCGCCGCCCCAGCCCGGACGACCTGCGGGAGGCACCGCGGCCCACAGGGGCTCCGCGGGTCCGGCCCGCACCGTCTCACACCCGATGCCAGGTTTCTGAAAGTGGGTGTGGCCACCATGGGAATTTTTTAAGTTGTGCTGTTTTTCACGAAAACAGGTTGCAACAATTACTTAGTGAAAAATAGTAGATAAAATCTAAAATTCTTTGATCTGAGAACAAGGCCTAAACGTTTTCAACCCTTCGGAGGGATGATTTAAATGCAGCTTAACTGGGCAGAGGGGGCCAGCCGCCCCCAGGGCCACGCCCCGCCCCTCCACTTCGGGCAGCCCTGGCCGCGCAGGCTGGGCGGTCAGCACACAGTGGGCAGCGTCCAGCCACCGTGCCGCGGTCACGTCGGGAGAGAGGACGAATGTGGCAACCACAGGTGCCGGCACCCGCGCCCTCCACCTGCCCCCAGGACACGAGAGCGGGACCGTACACGTCTCCTCCTCCAACACGCCACACCAAGGAGCCCGTCGTCTACACCCACTACTGAACCGGGACTCTGAAGGATCGGCTCTTCTTCAAACGCTTCCTGGGAGAAAGGCGCAGGGCTGAGAGTCACCTCAGGAAGTAGAAACAGCAACACTGACCTGTCCCAACGGTGCCACTTCCCGCTAATCATCCCACCCCTCCCGCCTCCCTCCCTTCCTCCCTCCGTCTCGAGACCAGAACCAAGACTCGAACCCCAGAGCGCCCTTCGTGGTTCTTGGGAGCTAGTGACCAGCGCAGAGATGACACAGATGCCAAAGCCCACTCAGTGAGGCGGCCTGACCCTCCGCCCGGCCCCTACAGGGCACAGAAGGCCAGGAAGACGTGTCCGCTGCAGGCAGAAGGCACACACTCTCACACGCGTGCGGCCACATGACACACAGCTATGCACACACGCTCACACAATGCACACGCGGTCACTGTACACACACGTGCACTTACATGCACGGGGCTACACTACACACATGCACACACTCAGTCACGGCACACACATGCACTTGCATGCATGCGATCACACTACACACATGCACACAGTCATGACACACACGTGCTGACATGCATACAGTCACACATACGTGGGCGTGCGTCCAGTCACCATACACACACATGCACTAACACATGCAGTGCAGTCACACGACACACACGTACTACACACACACGCACTCCGTGGGTGGGACGGAGTCGCCCTGGGGGCCTCGCCCACAGCTGCCAGCAGGGGGCAGCGCCAGGAGCCGCTGCTCGCAGGACTCCCGCTGCCCAGGTGGTCCCCAGGGACGAGACGCGGGTCCCTCCTCTCTGCCACTGTCTCGCTCGTGGCCCTCCGCGCGTGGGCACCCCCAGGGCCGTCGCGGGCCACCCCCGCACGTACCGTTCAGCCGCCGCTGCAGCGCCTCCTCCTCGAGGCCGATGATGTATGTCTGCTCGTCCAGGTCTTCGAGAATCTGGGGGGAAAGTGAGCTCCTGAGACGCCCCGACGCGAGCCCCTCCGAGACCGCCGGGCGCCGGGCCTGAGTCCGCGTGGCCGCTCGAGGGAGCTAAGCTCACAGGCCACGCGAAGCACGCGTCTGCGTGCACGCGAGGGTGACGACGGTCCCCGCCGAAGGACCGCACAGATGCGACTCCCAGGTTCGAGGGCGGAGACCCAGCACTTGAAGTGGCACACCCGGAAGAGGTCGGCACAGCGACGGCCGCGGAAGGAGGGAACAGCCAGGCGGGGCTGCCTGCACTTGCCTGCGTGAACGAGGCACCTGCCGGCCGCCTCTCTCCACCAAGACACGCGAGAACACTCTGCTTCCACTCAGGCCCCGTCGGGGGGCCACCAGCACCAGCAATGCACAGTGACCGCAGAAAACGGCCCCTCAATCGTCACATCTGCCGACCACACTGGCCCTCCCCTCACTGTCCTGACACACAACAGCCTCGGGACGCCCGGGCCAGCCCAGCGCTCCGGCCCCTCATCCCAGCCTGCGGGGTCCAGGCTGTCAGGAGACCCTCTCTGCTCCCCGGGAGGGATTTTCGGAGGAAAAATGGTCCCGATCACCGAGCCCTATCAGGACCGTCCAAAACTCCCCCCCAGCACCCAACGCGGGTCTCCTCCTATCACCCACCGCTGCTCTAAGAGAGCGAGACAGCGGGGGAGAGACCTCGGCTAAGTGGTTCGGAGACACCGGCTGCCCTGGCGAGAGCATGTGCAGCCCCTCAGGGGCCTGGCGGCGGGCACACAGACTGAGGGCTGGCAGGGCAGTGCTCTTGCCGAGGTCTCCGGGCACCTGATCTGCTGTCTGTCCTCGGGAGGCAGACCCTCCCAAGCCAAATTAAATGCAAAGCCACGCGCTAAGCTGAAGAAAACCGCTGCAGACTGGAGACGAAGAAAGAGCTGGGCCCGGGACGGACAGCTGGCTCGGTCCGAGGGAGGAGGCAGGCGGAGGCGGGCGTGAGGGAGGTGCAGAGAGCAGGGTGGGGACCCTGCTACCGCCCAGGCTGGGGGTAGCCGGAGCGCCAGTCACAGGGCTCCCAACACAGGCGACGGCAGCGTGCGCCCAGGCCCCAGCCCTGCACACCTGGGACAGAGCTCAAGGGTCGCTCCCGGCCTGCACTCGGGGCCATACGGGGCCAGGAACCGAACCCAGGTGGGCCGGGCGCCAGGCAAGCACCGACCCACTGTGCCACCTCCCCAGCCCGACAACGGAAAAGGGCGATTCGATGAATCGTGATACAACTTGCACGCACATTCCCTGACCGTTCCAGAAACAGGGGCTTCGCAAATCGAAGTGAGCAGGTGATTGACCCGGGGAGCGAAGTGACACGTGGCCCCGCGTGGACAGACGCAGAACGCAGCCGTCACCGCATGCGATGCGCACTCCTGTCTGACCACTTGCCGCGGGTCCCCGCAGCCGGGACTGAGGTGCAGAGCGCCCTGCCGCCGCCACAAGAGGGCCAGGACGCAGCACTGGCATCTGTGTGGCCCCACAGACCCTGGCTCTTGGGCTCGTGGCGCGACTCGCCAGGACGGAGCATAGCGACCTGCCCTGGCAGCAGAGGCCGGGCCGGGGACACTCACCGTGGGCTTCACCAGCAGCTGCCCCATCACCGTGAACATGCGCGACAGGCCGACCGGCGTGCACACTGCGGAGAGAGCAGAGGGACCGTCAGGGCACTGAGGGCGGGACAGGTCCAGGCGCCGTGGGGACACGTCCGGGCACTGGCGGGGGACCCCTGGCCACAGGCAGCAGCACTGCCCACCAAGGGCATACGCTGAGCCCGGGGAGTTTGGGGTCGGCCCTTGTGAGGGAGGAAGCAGCGCGTCCTGTCCCTGACCCCGAGGGGCCTGAATGCGCGTGAGCCTGGCCTGGGGACCCACATCCCAGTGCTCGCAAGCAAGGGGAAACCAGCCAGAGAACAGAGGGCGCGGTGGGACGCCAGGCGGCTGTGGACAGCCACTCCGGGCCCCCTCCAACACCGAACAGCCTGGAGCGGACGCCGGGGTCCCGGGCGTGGCCCCAGAGCCACCGGGACCATCGGGAGTCGCCTCCACAGGGGCTGGGGCTGAGCCGCTGCTCGCGCACACGGGTGCGTGGGTGTGTGGGCGTGCGCGCGTGGGTGGGGGGGGAGGCGTGTGCACACGTCCGGCCGGGGGAGGAGGCTCCCGGCCGGGCCGAGGCGCCTGGGCGGGAAACGTACTTACGGAGGAGCAGCAGGCAGCCCAGCAGCGAGATGCCGGAGTACAGGTAGGGCAGGTAGAACTCCCAGAGGTCTGCGGACAGGCGGGGGAGCTGAGCCCGCGGGCGCAGGAGCCGGCCCCGCCCCCGAGCCGCACCACCACGCAGGGAGGTCCCAGGGAAGGCCCCGCGACCCCCACCCAACCCCCCCAGCCGAGAACGCACCGTACAGGGACTCCATGCTGGCCGCGTCCTGGCCCAGCAGCGCCGAGGCCACCCACACGATGCCCAGCGTGAGCAGGGCCAGCAGCAGCAGCATGACGAGCGTCTCCAGGATGCGGGCGCGCAGCCCCTGCAACGGGCACACTCACTCGCCGTCGTCCCCAGCACAGGGCCCCGGCCCCACCGGCTGCAGGACTCCGCGCCCCAGTGCCCGGCCAGGAGGGGCTGCCGCGGGCGGAGACAGAGCCGGACACGCGCTCGGGCTGATCCTCACCACACTGACACCGAAGGGCCCGTGGACGCCCACCGGGAGCCCAGAGACGGGCAGCCACGACCTCGGCTCCCCGGCGGGCCTGCGCCCCACAGCAGCCCAGGCCGGGTTCCGCCCCCTGCTCCCCCGCCCCGCCCACCACCCCCACTAACGGCCTCACACTCTGCCACCAACCGCGACCCAGGAGAAGCGGTGGTCAGGACAGACAGGGCTCCGGGGTCACAGACCCCCGCCCCCCCCACCCCCGCCAAGACCCCAGCCTGGCCACGTCCCCGTCCCGGCCACAGTCCCCGGCCAGGAAACAGCCCGTCCTGATCATTCCTGCCACTGTCCCTGTCCCCATCCTGGTCCGTCCCTAGCCGGCTTTCCTGTCCGAGTCCGTCCCCGTCGCACCCTTGTCTGGACAGAGTGGACAGGCCCCAGCGGCTCCTCCCTGGCCACCTGGGCCACCTGCATGCGGGAAGCAAAGACATGGGCTCGGGCACTGCTGTGGGGTCAGACACTGTCCACGGGGCCTGAACGTGCCCAGCTGGGGTCAGGTGGGGTTAGACCTGGTCTCTGGGCCCTCTGCATGCCGGGGGTCAGGCTAGGATCAGGTCAGGTCAGGCACTGCCCACTGGCCCCTGCACACCAAGGGCTCAGGGACACACGATGTCTGTCAAGTGTCCACTGAGGGCGTCAGAACCGCATGGGCGCGATCTCTCTGACAGCCCGGCTGGAGTCTCGCTCCGGGCCCCCGGCACGGCGAGTGTGCCACCCGCCAGCTCCCAGCGGGTGAGATGCCACGGGTTCTCCTGGCCGGCAGTAGTGCTGGGCAGGGCTCGGCCACGCTGCAGAGCGCCCTTCTGGAGAGGCGTGGTCACGCCTTCAGAGGCAGCTTCTCTGGGGCAGGCAGATGTGGGCACCTGCGCCCACCTCCCCCGGGAGAGGTCACACACCTCAGACCACGGCCGCAGGGCAGCCCCGCGGAGAGGGTGTCCACGGGCACCCGAGGACAGCATGGAGAGGGGACAGAGAAGGGACAGAGAGGACAACGGCGGTAGGGGAGGGGATGAGCCCGGGCGGGGCTTGGCCTGTGCACCCACGGCCCACCCCAGTGCCCACTCCCAGGCGGTACCAAGGCTGCCCATCCGCGAGCCCTGACCAGAGCGGAGTTGCACTGCCCTCACCAGCAGGACAGGCCCCGAGCAGGCGGCGCCCGGCAGCCGGGCAGGGCCCACACGGCCCTGCACCACCCGTGGGCACCCTCGGACAGGGGCTCTCAGCAACCCCGGCCCCAGGCCCCGACCTCCCCAGCACACATGAGGACGGCGCCCCCCACTGCTCCGACAGCCACAAGACCACCCGCGGGTCCCTGCCAGCATCACTCTGGCCTTCATGAGCCCCCATCGAGGCGATGCGTCGACCCGGCGGGACGCCAGAGATGAGAGAGAAAGCTTCTCCCTGGAGATGAGAGAGCTTCTCCCCAGACCTGACCGGACAAGGAGGGTCCAGGGCGGACACACACTGCCCTCGAGACCCCATGCTGGCCTCCGCACTTCCTGTCGCTCTGAGCCGAGGCGAACGAGGGAGCTGCAGCTCACGTGTTTCTGGACACGCCGACCCCTCGGACGCGCGCCAACACTTCGTTCCAGACGGTCCCCCACCCCCGCCCGCCGAGAGAGCCTGGGAAACCGCCTGTTCACAGGACGTTTAAATAAATATCAAGCCATTGTTCCTGTGGAACAAAAAGGGTCCCCTGGTCACATCAGGGTAAGGTTTGCCCAGCGGCCACGTGACAGAGGTCGATAGGAGGCCCGAGAAGAGACAGAAAGGAAACACAGGTATGCTTCTTCGCCGCGAAACTCGGAGGCGGCCAGACTCTCCCTGCCCTGCTCCAGCCAGTTCCAGCGCGAGAGTCAGGCGGAGAAAACACAGACCCGCTTCACCAAACGCTTTGCTGCACTCTATGGCAAAACGTTTCCACGTTAATATTTTACGTGACCTATTCTATGTGCTCGGGCTGGAGCAGTAGCACAGCGGGGAGGGCGTCTGCCTTGCACACATCCAACCCGGGTTCGATTCCTCCGCCCCTCTTGGAGAGCCCAGCAAGCTACCGAGAGTATCTCGCCCACACAGCAAGGCCTGGCAAGCTCCCCGTGGCGTATTCGAGATGCCAGACACAGTAACAAGTCTCACAGTGGAGATGTCACTGGTGCCTGCGCGAGCAAATCGACGAACAACGGGAGCACGATGCTACGGTGCTATTCTATGTGCTTGATATAGTAACGTGCTACGAACATACTCAAGTTTCTAGTCAAATTGTTTAAGGCTGACCAAGAGGAACTGGTCTGGGAGCAGCGGGGAGGGCCTTTGCCGTGCACGACCCCCAGCATCCCAGATGGTCCCCCGAGCACCGCCAGGAGTGACCCCTGAGCCCAGAGCGTGTCCCCCACCCATGAGAAGTTAACCCTGCGGTTCATGAACGGAAAGGTCCCGGCATCCGACTTCTAGCAGCAGACGCACCTCACGGGACGTGACGGGCAAACCCTCCCTTCACAGGCACCGCAGCCCCTGGAGTGAAGGCGGCGCTCGCGCGTGGCGGGGCCGCTCCACGGACTCCCCAACACGGCTGGGCGCCACCACCGGGTACCCGTGTGGTCCCCACTGCACCAGCACGAAGCCCAACAGGCCGCGGTTCCCGGCTGCACCGCAGGCCAGAGAGCCCGGTATTGAGGGCAGAGGGCACGGCTCAGGGCGGGCCCTGGCAGAGCAGAGCACAGACCATGGAGCACGATGGGCCCCGGGGACGGCGCTGATGAGCACAGGGCATGAGCCCCTCTGCCGGGGTCCCGCCCGCCCTCCCCAGCCCCTTGCAGGTGCTGTGGGCGCCTCCTCCCGGCAGGGCCCTGACCTCTGGCCAGGCAGGCCCTAAACCAGCGGGCGGCTATCTCCCTCCGTGCAGGCAGGAGAGTGCGTGCACTGGCCGGGCCCGCCGCGACAGAGAACGCCGTCCCGGCACTGAGGAGACGCGGCAGACGGCCGGTCTCGGTCCCGGCGCAGGAAGAGCTTCCACCTTCCGGCCCTCGCCTGCACCCGGGCCGGCACGTTTGTGCGGGTGGCCGCGTGCCCTACCCCCTCTCACAGGGCGGGGTCTGTCCTGGGACTAGCCACACCCGCTTGGCGATCGGGTCCAAGAATTCAAGAATTCGCTGTCAGGGGCAGAGAGACAGCTCAGAGGAAGGGCAGGCGAGGGGCGGGACAGCCTTGCACAGCCAAGGGGGTGCGACCCCGGCAGCCCAGACGGTCCCTGGACACCCCACAGAGGGACCCTGAGCACAAAGCCCTGAGTGGCCCAGGCACAGCCGGGCATGTCCCGAAAACACCGACCAGGCAGGGGCGAGCTGGGGTGTGAGCGACGTGGGGGCAGGGTGGGAGGACCCCCACACTGGACGGGGCTCGGCCCTGCGTGTGCCAGAAGCCCGATCAACAGCATCACAAATCACAAACCGTCCTCACTCAAGATCCAGCTGGAGGGGCCGGAGCGACAGCACAGCGGGGAGGGCGCTTGCCCTGCACACAGCCCACCCGGGCTCTCCCCCCAGCAACCCAGATAGTCCCCCGACACCACCAGGAGTAACACTAGATGCGCACCGAAAGAGCCAAAAATTATAAACATCAAATTTTAAAAAAACGAGATCTAGCTTGGAAACTGATAGACTTCCCACACGAGAAGTCAGCATGGATCCGTAGGTTTAGGTCTTTTTTTTTTTAATCTTTCAGAGAGATTTTGTTTCCCTCCGTGATTTCCAGAAAGATCTTAGGTATCACTGGTTGGATGTGTTTCCACACACTTAGAGTGTCTCGCTGCCATCAATGGTGTTTTAATCAGATCTTGTTTGCTGTCGTCATTTGACTTCTGTGGGTCACCTGGTCTCCAGTCTCCCTGCTACATTGCCTTCCGTCAGTCAGTTTTTCTTCAGATTCCTGGGACTTTCAGGATCTAAGCCTGCCTCCCAATGACGGCGATGTGTTCTCGCTTTCACTTCCGCCCACAGCCCATGTGCCACTGAGGGCCTGGGTGTGACCTCCACACCCTGCCAGGCCCCCGGACAGGCCCCTGCCCCATCCACGGGTTCCCAGAGGATGTCCTGCCACATGGGGCCCACGGCTCGGCCTCCCGCCGTCCGGGGCAGTGTGAGGGTGAGGGGTCACGCTGGACGTCACCAGCCGCAGCTGTCTGCTCTGCTCGCTTCAGCCCTCACTTGGGCCCCCGTTGCCTGGCCTGGCGAGCGCTCCCCAGGCAGGAGGGGGCGGGGGGAGCCCTTGTCCCACAACGCCCTGGGCTCTGGCGGCACTGGCTGAACCTGGGGCCCAGGCTCGGCTCGGCGCACACGCACAGAGCCCGGGGCCCACCGGAGTGACACCCGTGGGCTCTCCCTGTCCAGCCGCTGCTTGGCGACTACCCCTGGCACCAGAAATAGATTGATTATTGAACGTCGACGTGGATCACAGTGACCCGGGATGCTGGGGCCGGAAATCTGGAATCACACAGGCTAGAGAGGGGCTCACTGACTTCCTGTGGAATTGCTTAAACAACCAGGATATTGATGAAAAAGACAAGCAGGAACACAGGAGAATCTCCAAGAGCCCTGGCCGATGGACTTAGCCTGTGTGCTGGGAGAGAGCCGTTGAGTGTGTGTGTATCCGTGTGTGTCTGTGTGTGGACAGTGGGTATGACTGTGTGGACAGGTGGCGTGTGTGGCTGTGTGTATCTGTGTGTGGACAGTGTGTGTGTGGCCGTGTGTGGACAGTGTGTGTGGCTGTGTGTACACAGGAGCACCGTGTGCAGGACGGACTGTGTGGCTCTGCCCCTGCTCCCAGTGGCCCTCAGTCCCTGCTGCCGCCTGTGTCCACTCCCTCCTGAGACACTGCTGGAGCCTTGTGCCCTGCTGGGCTGGCTCCATGGAGGGTGCTCTTGGGTCACGGCGACGCCATCGGCCGGTTGTCTGGTGACGGAGAGCAGGGATGTGGAGACGGCGTTCTTTAAACTGAACAAACGGCAGCTGGTCTCAGACGTTGCGTAATCAGACCCCAAAATTCTCCCATTACGCGTGGGGCCGGGACCACAGTCCAACAGGCCGGGGACTGTCCGCATGTGGCCGAGCGGGTCTGAACCCGCCCCCCGCCCCACACACACCAAGACGTGCGGGAGGCAGCGGGCGTGGGTGCGGGAGCAGACCACCTGCACCGGCCCACCACGAGTCCCCGCGGAAGAGGCAGGGTCCCCTGTGTCCGCCCAGCTCGGCCACTCGACCCTTCTCTGCTGGTCTTCACCCTGTTTTCCAGTCTGGGGCTCCTGGCCTCTGGGGCACACGCCCAGCAGCGCCCCGGGATCACTCCTGGCGGGCTCTGGGACCCTCCTCTGGTGGTGCCAGGACTGAGCAGGGCGGCCGCAGGAGGCAGGAGCTTCAGCCCCTGACCCGTGTCGTCCCCGACCTTACACGTGAGTCACTGGACGGAGACACAGTTTCTTTCACCACCACTGAGTCGTTCTGAAATTCAGTGACTCCAAACCCATTCCGAGCTTGTCGGTCTGTCGCGAGTTGCTCGCTGAGCCGGGCCCGTGTCTCGCCCTCCAGCGCCCCGAGTACACGCTGACTGGGAGGAGGCAGCACAGGACAAGTGGGAACGGTCGGCGGCGGCGCGTGTCAGAGGACCGGCCCAGAGCCCGGCCTCTCGGGGCACCAGCAGGCCCCTGGTCAGCGTTACCCTGACATCCAGCTTCACCCCAACCATGCTGGGCCATTTGCAACGCCCGCGGAAAAGGCTCAGGAAAAGAAACTAATGACAAGGACCACGGCTCGAGAATCGTTTGATGAATATGGGAAGTATGAGGGCAGGCTTAATTAACGTATAATTAAAATCTGAAGCCAGTCGTTTTAAATTTCCTCCCTACCAAACCTTTTCCTCTTCTAACAGAGTGCCGGATTATGAGACATCACTTAATCATTTGCCCATCATATAAAATAAAGTTTGAAGTTTAGTTACCTAGTAAACAGAGTGCCTTTTTTTTACAGCCTAGACTACTTTAAAACAAACTCTCCTTGGAGAAGTAAATGAGAAAGCTGTGCGGCCGCCACTGGCCTGGCCGAGAGCTGGCGACTGAGACGGAGACTCTCCTGCGGCTGTGGGCCCGGCACCCAGAGGGCCGGACGGCCGGGCCGACGCCCTCAGGAGAGGGAGAGCAGCTGGGCGAGCGCCCATTGCCCGGGACCCCTGGCCCGGCTCGGCTTAGCGGGGGGAGAGTCCGGGGCCCTGGCCAGGGTCACGTCGTCACACGGCCACACCGGCCGAGAGCCGGGCCCTGGCGGAAGCAGACGCGCACACCGGGGGCCACTCGGGCCACCCGGTGACCGTGCGACCCTCCACGGGCCCCGTAGCCGGGCCCCGAGCTGAAGGACGCGGGGGCGAGTGACCCACCCGGCAATCTGCCTCTGCCCAGCCAAGACTGGCCCCGCGGCAGAGGGGGACACCCCAGCGCCGTCCGGCCGCCCCCCCCGAACCGAACCTCCCGAAAGCCATCCCCGGTGCCGGACGCTCTCAGGAGAACCGGCCCCGGCCGGGCGCGGCGACATTAATAACTGGCCGAGCGGAGCTTGTCCTCGAAGGTGTGGGGAAACTCACATTGACACAGACCAACGCTCGGCGAGCCCAGCCTGCGTCCCGGTAATCACCGAGATCAAACCCGGCCGCAGGTACAGCTCCTGGAAGGCACCCAGCGGGGGCTTCCTCTGTGCCTGCGACTTCCGCTCACACGCGGAACCCGCCAAATCCGCGCAGGTGCCGCTGACGCTGAGCAGCCCTTCCGCCCTCGTGTCCAGCAATTTATGGATGCGCGGGCGCGAGTAATGAAAGCCGCCGTGCGCCGGCCCCGGCCTGCGGGCTCTGGGAGAGGCCTGATCCGAATTAGCCCCCGGGAGGAAAGTCATCTGCTCATAAAATACAGTACAAGGTCACTTTTATGTAAGTTTGCCAAGAGGGACATAAACCAGGACGGTTTCAAACTGCGACCCAGGACAGCAGCCCACGAGGCGACCTTTGTCCCCGCGCGGGGCGGTGGCGGGCACAGTTTATGGGCCGGCCCTCGCCCTCCACCTGGCCCGCCCGACTCATTAAGGAAGGAAGTCACCTCGCGTTCTGTCCTTCGTTTTATTGTCAGGCTCCGCGTTTGAAGTCCTCGGAATCCCCCCCTAATCCCGCAGGCCGGGCGCTGCTCTGGCCTGGGCCGCGGGTCTGGGTAATTGGCCAGGACGCAGCGTGGCACGGCGCGGCGATGGGTGGCCTCCACCCCCAGGGCGCCCGGCCACCTGCCGGACTGTCTCCTCACGGCGGTCCACAGGACCAGGGACCAGGACTCCCCACGGTCGGCCTCAGAGCCGTGGCTGCCATGGCAGCTCTGGACACGCGACTCTTGGTCCAGCGGGTGGGAGATGCCACCTGCACCCCCAAACCAGCAGCGCGAGCTGCAGGCTGGGGCAGGGTCTGCCCCCTCAGGGCTCAGCGGAGGGGCCAGCCGACCACCAACAGCTGGAACTCAGGAGCTCTGAGGAGGGCGCTGTGTCCCCTGCCCCAGACAGCAGGCCAGGCAGAACTCCTGGCCTGGCTGGGGGCACCAAGGCAGGGCTGTCCCGGGCCTCTGGGGCTCGAGGGCCGAGGGGGGAAGGGGGTGGCCGGCGAGTCCGCAGGCGAGTCCGTCCTGCGGCTCTGAGGACAGGAGGCACGGGCTCATGCCGCAGTGCTCAGGACTCAGGCGGGTGGTGGTGGTCCTGAGAATCCCCTCAGGAGCAGGGGAAGACGCGGGCAGCCTCCCCCAACCGCGCTGCAGACCCAGGCTGAGCCCTGGGCAGGGGTGGGCCATGCCGGCCGGCCCTAGAACCCGGGTTTCTATTCACAGTGAAAGCCCCAGGAGCCAAGAGGGCAAGTTCCCCAGGAGCCAAGAGGGCAAGTTGAGGCAGCCGCCCCGGGGTCCCCGGCCCCACCCCACCCCCCGTGCTGAGCCCCAGCACAGCCACCCCCGGCTGCCAGCCTGCCCCGTCCCACGCTGGACAGGCGCCGCCTGGGGGCCAGGGGAGGCTCCTTCCCGCTGCGGCTCCCACATCTCCCCGCGCCCCGTGCCCAGCACCACGGTGAGTCTCAAGCCCGGCACTGGCACACGGTCACCCTGCCCACAGGGACACTGCCTCAGGCCTGCTGGGCCCTGCCTGGCCCCGCCGGCCCGACCCTCACCTCAGGGCCCCACCATCCCAGGACACCTCCCCACACTGGCGACGACACTCCCGGACCCCTGGAGAAATGACAAGGGAGCTGTAGGAAGCAGGAGAGGCTGGGTGACTCCGTCCGAACAGCGAGACCGGCCGCCTGCCGAGGCGGCCACACGGCCTTCCTCTGCGCTCAGTGGCCGGACACGCGTGGGCAGGAGTCTGGAACACTCCAGAGAACAGAGGCGCGTTCCTCAGACAGCCGCACACGGTGTCGCCACCAAGTCCACCCCCACACGGAGTCCACACGCACACGCACGCCCCAGCGCCCCTCACAGAGCAGCGGCTAGTCAGCGCCCTCCAGGGACCCCAGAGCCGCTTCCTGCGCCCCCGTCCTGTCCCCCACATAGGCTACTTCTTATCCCTACTCCTCGGCTCTTGCTGTTTGTTTTGGGGCCACCCTCGGCAGTGCTCAGGGGCTGACTCCTGGGTCTGTGCTCAGGGATCACCCCTGGTGGTGCTCAGGGGATTCTCCAGGGTTCCAGGGACCAAACCCAGGTCAGCCAGACGCAAGGCAAGTGCCCCGCCTGCTGTGTCATCACTCTGGTCCCACCCCCGTCCTGTCCCTCAGGACCCCACAGAGGCCACGTCCCGTCCCCCCGTCCTGTCCCGCAGGGCCCCAGAGGCAGCAGTGTGCAGTGCAGTGAGCAGCTCCATCTGCCACCTCAGACGAGCTGCCTCCACCCCCGCTGGGCTTCCCACAACCCTGCAGTTGCCGCGCGGCAGGGCCTGTGGCCAGCTGCCTGCTGCCCACTGCTCACCCCGAGCCAAGTTCCCCGCCCCGAGGAGCCGGTATCCGTGGGTGTGGTGCTCAGCGGCACCGTGACTCCCGACACGCCTCACCCCTGCACTTCCCGTGTGCTGGCTCATGGAAGGTGGATCTCCGGCCACCCCGACGACCTTCTCTGACAGGGCAGTAGGCCCAGGGGGCGCGGAGGCCGTGCCAGAGTCGGCCGAGCCACCGGGCGCCTCCGCCCTCAGCCCCGTTCGACGGCCGCCCACGCGGACCCTCTCCAGCACCAAACGGGCTCCTCCCCGCGTCCTCGTGCAACACACGCGATTCCAAAGTCCGACACACTCACCTTCTTCAGGCCGGCGAAACCTTCCGACTCCAGGAAGAAGAAGGCGAAGGGCATCAGCACAAACAAGCAGAGGTTGGAGAGGAGCGACGCGAGGTTCCACAGCCCTGCGGAGAGCGGGAGGGGGGTCACGCCGCAGCCCTGGGGCCGCCCACTCGGCTCTGCGTGGGACCCCCGCCCGGGGCCCAGGCCAAGGGCCGACACCTGGAAGGAGGTGCTGACCGTGTCTCCGAAGCCTCTGCGAGTGACCGGCCCCCCGCAGCGAAGGGGTCCTCAGTCTTTAGACGGACGCCCAGGTCTCGGTGGAGGCGCTTGGCCACGAGCAGAGCTGAGGCTGGAGGAGCCGTTCGGCATGGGGGGGGCCGTCTCCTGAGCCCCCGCCGGGGCGATCAGCTCCACCCCTGTGCCAGCCACCCCACCCGCCTCTGCCCTGCACCGCCCAGCCCCGTCCCGCGTCCCCCAGAAATCCTACACCGAGGCTCCTTCCCCCCAGCCCGCACAGCACAGCGGGACAGAGCTGCCTGCAGAACTTTCTAGACGGCAGACGAGCCAACACAGAGAGGTCCCCTCCCGGGAAGGAGAGAGGGTCGTGAGGGCCACGCCACCCTCCCCGGGCACGGGCTCTGGGAAAAACACACAGGTCAGCCGAGACCGACAGCAAAGAAAGCGGAGAGACTTGGGCCCACCAGGACCACCTGGCCCAACCCCACACGTGCAACGGCCACGGCTGAGAGCTCGGGCCCAACAGACGGCCGCCGCGGCGCCCAAGAGCCTCTTACCAGGCCCGTTTCCGGCACAAGGAGTCCGAGGAGCGGCCGCGTGCCACGTGCGGCTGTCTGCAGTCACCGGGACCCGCAGCACGCACCGTCTCTTGCTCAGGATCGAGACGGAGTCAGACCTGACCGTGCAGTTCCCTTGGGGTAACGCGTTAAGACTGGAGGAAAACAAGGTTCTCTGGCCACTGGGTGAGACCGTTTGAGGTGACGGTGGTTCTGAAAGGCTCCTCCCCTCCCCAGCATAAGGAGAAAGGTGTCACCCGCTGCATCCCGTTTCTTCACCTCTAGGAATCCGCCTGCCAGCGGCCACCTGCCCAGGAGCTACCAGCAGGTCCCTGTGGCTGTGCCGCCCCGGCCAGCAGGTGCAGACACCCCGAGTGGGTGTTGGGCACGGAGCCTGTTGGGTATGGAGCGGGAGAAGACGGACTCCGTAGCAGACTCCGTTTTTATAGCCCCTGCTCCATACCCCTGTTTTGGCTTTCTCGGAATTCTGCTCCCGTCCCCCCCACCCCCGGCCACCTGCAAAAAAAGGACATCTGGGCCGAAAACTCGGTCTTGGTTCTCAGAATCCTGCTTCTTCCCCCGCGCTGATAGCTCGGCCCTGGTTCCCAGAAACCGCCCGGATGGGAGCAGGGGAGGAGGGAGCAGCTGCCAGAATGGCCGGGAAATTATCAGGATAAGACGGCCTGTCCGTAACGGCTCCCACTGTACTGTTTGAAAGCAGGCTGGATCTTGTATTTTCACTCTCTCTCTCTTTGAAACTGTAAGCGTGGGCTATGGCGCACACACGGACTGTAAAATCGCAGCTTCTCCCTTGCTCGGGGTCTTGCTTCGTGGCCTGGGTGCCTAGGAGCTTGACCCCAGCTAGATGGCTTGAATAGACTCCGCTCGTGTTTTGCTTTACTGGCTGGACTCTGTGTGTGGTTGGGAGAGGGGAGATTATCAATCGCGGACCCTAACAGCGCCCAGGCTGCTCCAGGTGGGGGCGGGTGACCGCCGGTCTGCCGGTGTCCACTCCCCCGGCCCTCCCTGCAGAGCGGCAGCACCTGCGTGAGTGCCCCAGAGCCCACTCAGGCCGGCGGCATCAGGCAGCTCTGCGTGTCTCAGGACGGAGGGAGGGCTTCCCGGGGCACCGCTGCCCACTGGCAACAGACCCCAGGCCGCGTGCCGCTCTCTGACGTGCAGCAGGACAGGACACTGCCCGCGACAGAGAGTTTGTGTTTAAGAAAAGCATAAACTCAGCAAAAAAATTCGTTTGTGCATCTGGCTTTGGTCCCCTCAAACACGTCCCAGCACGGGAAGAGCATACTTGGAGCAAGACCCCCGCCGGCCGCCTCATGAACACCCACAGAGGGCGCTAGACACCGGCCCCCCGCGGGAGGCGGCCAGGACAGGAGCAGGCGAGCTGCTCAGGAGCCGCGTCTCTGCAGTGCTCGCCCGAGCCCTGCGAAGCCCGTCCGGACGGGCCGGGGAAAGGGGAGTCTCAGGTCTCTGCCGCCGACACTGAGCCGACGGGAAGTCAGACGCACCCTGTCAGCAGCTCCGCGGAGCCGCACGTCGGCCGGCCTGCAGCAGCGCGGGCTCAGGGCACTGCCCCCACCCAGGGCCCGGGTCCCCCACCCGGCCGCCAGCATAGCAGCTGCCGTGCCCACCGAGCACCGCGCCCGGGCACTCTCCCCTGGGCCAACCCTGCCGCTGGTCACGGGGCTGGAGGCCGTCAGCCACTGTCGGGAGCTGCCAGGGTGATGCTCGACGCTCTGAAGCATCTCAGCAGGTTCCGACGGGTCTGACTCGCCGCCTTTTGCTGGGCACTGCGGTGATCCCGGGGGTCTGCCACCCTCGGGGCTGTTTCGGCTGCTCCGGGACACGCGACTCGGGGCCCAGGGCTGTGGCGGCTCCCACTCCACTCCCGCCCGCTCCTCCCGGGGTACGTAGGACGCGACGTCTCCCACAGCCTCCGCACCCACAGCTCCCACAGGGGCCACCATGGCCGCCCGCCCTCCTGCTCTCCCACGCCCCCCGGGGTTTGGCCTCTCCTGCCCCTAACTGCGACCCCTTCGGAGCAAAGAATCCGACTCTGGGTCACGTGCTAGACGCCGCACATCTTGACCAGCTCAGAGCAGGCCCAGTCCTTGGCCTGCTGTGTCCACACGGCCCGCCCTAGAACCTTCCTTCGGGCGGCGGCACCGCGGGGAGGGCACCTGCCTGCACGCAGCCCACCCGGGCGCAATCCCGGCACCCCACGTGGTCCCCTGACACGGCCAAGTGGGGCCCAAGAGCAAACAAACGAACCAAACCAGAACTTCCCCTCGGGCCGCTGCCCCGCGGCCCCCTCCCCGCGAATGGTGTCAGCAGGCCTTGCGTCTCTGTGCCGCTGCCCCTCCACGCCATGGACGCCTCCTGTCCGTGCTGCATGGCCACGGGCCGTGCACACCGGCCCCGCCGCTCCGTGTCCCGCGCTGGGCTTCGGTTCCCACGCGTGCGCCTCCTCTGCTGTCTCCTGGACACCAAGGAACGTTCCGTGGGCCCAGCTGAGGACACGGCCTCGGGACTCCCGCGGCTGCTGCGGGTCAGCCCAGTGCCAGCAGACGGCGGACGGCTGGCCCAGCACGCGGACCTGGCGACTCACTGGTTCAAAGTGGCTTTTCCGCAAAACACCGCCCCCGACTCCCGTGGAGACGAGGCTCTGGCTGTGACGGAAGCCCCAGCCTGCTCCTCGCCTGGGGCTCTCACCCCTCTGAGGAGGCCGGGAGGGAAGCGTCCAGCCTCCCCCGTGCCGGGATGCCACCTGCGGGTGGCGGTAGCTGCGTTCTCAGGCGGTCTGCTTCGCTCAGGGCTGGCTCCTGACAGGCACACGGGGAACCGGGTGGGCCGTGGGCCAGGCAAGCGCCAACCCAGGCTCCATCTCTCGGGCCCGTGGAAGGTCTTCCTCTGGCTTCGCCGCACGCAGAGACGGTCAGGGATGGGCCCCTCCTGGGTCGTTCCCAAAGGCTGCGTCTCCCTCCCAAAGCAGCGTGGGCTCTGCTGAAACGCGAGGAGAGTCAGCAGGGTCGGGCCCTGCTGGCCACCAGGCAGGCCCCGGGATGCCGCCATTTCCCCCTCACACTCTTGGTGCCTCCGACAACCAAGTCCCATGACCTGACCGGCTGGTGACACGTTCCCGGGGGCCTCGGACACTGGTGACTTCCGCAGTGTTCCCCATTTCTCTGAGCTGGTCAGCAGGTGGCCACGAGGCAGCCAGCCCTGCCCGGCCCTGCTCTCCTCACCGGTCATCAGGCTCCTGTGCGGACCATCAGGCCAACTGCAGGCCAGCTCTGGTCTGGTGCGTTTGTTTGCTGTTCCACTGACTCCGTCCCTGCCGACACAGACTCGGCCGCCCATGGTGGGCAGTGGGAAGCTAACAGACCCGCTCCCTGCTCTCCAGACAACTGAGACCCTCACAGACCTCACTCAGCAGCAGCAGCCGGCACATGGGTTGGTTAATGTTTTATTTTCCGCTCGGTTCACAGGGCTTCCAGTTTCCCTTCTGGGGTTTCTCAACTCCTGAATTACTAGAAAGTGCGTACTCTGTCATCAAACGCTCAAGGGACTTTCCGGCTGTGAGTCTGTCGCCGGTTTCCACTTCATCTCACTGTCGTCTGGAAACCTGTGCTTCGAATCCTCCTGAAGACCCAGCCTGGCTGAAGGCGCTCTGGGCAAGCCTTCCCGGGTGCCTGAGAGAAGCCCGTTCCGCTCCGGCGGGCAGACCCAGGGCCCCCCGAGTCCAGCCGCACGCCTGCCCCGTCCACCCCCCACCGATCGCCGGCAAGGGCTGCTGATACGTCCGAATGCGGCTCGGATTCGGGCTCTTAACCCTTCTGTGCCCGCCAGGTTCTGCTTCACGCTCGTGACAGGCCTGCTGTGCTCTGCGGGGTGTTCGGTTGATCTGTGTTTGCTTTGGGTGGGGGGGACTCGGTTTCTGGGCCACACCCGGCAGCGCCCGGGGGTTACTCTTGGCTCTGCTCCCAGGGACCTTCCAGAGCTCAGAGGGCCCTTGGGGGGGCCACGTGCAGGGCAAACCCTCCCCACTGTGCTCTCGCTCTGGTCCGCACGTCACTGTGTGTGTGTGTGCACGTGTGTGACCAATCACGTTTCCCTTTATCAGACTCGACCATCTTCTCTGGTCGCATCTCAGCTCTGCGGGCACCCAGCCATCCTCTCACCCCAGGCCCGTCTGCGCGCAGGGAGGCTCCACACGGAGCCCCTGGGCCACGCTGAGCCTGTGCCTTTGGGTCAGGGTCACGGGCCATTTGCGTTCACGGACACTATCAGGCGGCAGAAGTCTGCTCCCT